AAGGCAATTCAATAATATTTTTCCCGATCGGCAGTCACAGAGTGATGATAATTGACCGTCACCATTAACACCTTCCTTGGAAGTTAATGTGATATCCGCTTCCAGAAAATCTTGATATGACCCAACTTCAATATTCTTATTTTGTATTTGTGTTTGTTCTGATCTATATATGATGGTTCTTTCCTAGACATTGGTGCTCCGGTGTGTTTTGTCTCCCTCGATGTGGGAAGTTGCTGCTTTTCCTGGTCTGGGGTTTCTGTCTGGCTTATTTTGGACTTCACAAATAATGGTATATGTATAAAGACTATTTTTCGCTCCACCTGTTTCTACGTTTATCCGGAACGAAGCAAGAAGAAGAATTGAAGATTTTTGTGAAAAGACTTTATTCCAGTGTTATCTATTCTTTACTAGTACTTGTTTTTATGTTAGTTTGAGTAGATTTGGTTTAGATATTTGGATATTTGAAGCAGATTTGACAGACGGTGTTTCGGTTTCGATCATTTTAGACTTAAAATGGCTCGTTCTATGAATCTGTGTCTAGTGAGTTGGATTGTTTTGTATGAGGTGATTTACTCTATGTCTATTTTTAGGGCTTACGATCGGATCAATAATAAGTGTGTGAAAGTTGTATTCTATGCTTTCTTAATAGGAAAAATTGACAAGAATAATCCCACCTTTCATTGGTCTTCTCCTAATAATCCCACATTTACTTAATTCAAGAATAATCTCACTTTTGCACCTCATCTTCTTTCATTGGACCCTGACCTATTGATGATCTACAAAGGTGGGATTATTTATATAAGATTTTCAAAAAAAGGTCCAATGATAGAAAATGGGGTGCAAAAGTGGGATTATTCTGTGATTATATAAATGTGGGATTATTATGAGAATATCAGTGAAATGTGGGATTATTCTAATCAATTTTTCCTTCTCGATATTATTATAAAAGCCGCACTTTTATTAAAAAAAATTAGGATCATGTCGAATCTCACACATTGTGTCACAAAATTTGTTTGCACTTGGCTGAAAAATTGAAATATAATACTACCGTGTTAAAACATAAAATATAATTCAACTTTACTATTTTTTTGAAATAAATTCAACTTTAATTTGTTATATCATCCTTCAATGACTCCAAGCAAGCTTTATCTCTCTTCGAAATAAATAAACAATGTTTACCAACATAAAAAAAAGACATACTTCTTCCAAAAAAAACATAAAAAAGGCATACCCATTGATTACCAACATAACATGAAAGCTAGCTACAACTTTTTTGACCCGGAGGAGAATCACATGATTGGCGGAGTAAATGACGGACAGACATTTTCTAATTAATTAAATGAGTAGAGAATTACATTTGTATACAAAACTAGTATTCTACCCGAGAATAAAATTTGCAAATTAAGGATAAATTTATTGTATAAACTTTTGTCATCTAAACACGCATTTGTGTCAAATACATTATGTGAGTGAAATGTTTTACGCTTTCTATGACCTTAAGTTTTTTTAGCGTCTCAAATGTCTAAAAATGCTCAATAATGACTACATGAGAATATTCTTACGCTTTATGTGACCTTAAATTTCTTAGTCCGATCCTAATGTCTCATCTTAATTTTACAAATATTTATATATACTTAGTCCATATCAACATACAAATATTAGTCGATCAAAATGCCTTGATAGTCTTTGAGAGTGAGAATTTCATTGGTGTTATAGATAGAAACTCTTCTATCGAATTTCTAGATGGCTAATCAGGAAGCTAAGTGACGACTTCATATGAAGATACAATAATATCGCACCTAATAACAGAAAGCATGTAAATTAGCCACACATGAGATGATACATTTTATTTTAAATGTATAAGGGAAAATGTGGTAATTGAAAATAGTTTGCGACATTGTATATGGTATTTTAAAATACTTGGTCATATGTGTGACTCATTCAATTTGGATCAAACATTACTTTAGTTCAATATAATGAATATGAAGCTTAATTTTTCCTGTGCAAGGCATAAAATAGATGAAATTAAGGATGTTTTTCTTTGGACTGTTTTCAGTCCCAGACAAAATCAGATCAGAGTAGACCATATTAGAACAGACCAGACTTTCATAGTTATAAAATACACATGGACCATACATTCACCAGACCAGATCAGTTCATATCAGATCAGACCAGACCAGAAAATTTCAGTCCAAAAGAAAGCATCCTAACAAGGACATCTACTTTAATGTTATTATTTAAGAGTTGTTACGCTCTTATTTTATCAGAAAGATTCTGACTAGATCAGATCAGATAAATAAAATTCAGATCATTATAATTAAATTATAAATAGTGATAATTATATTTATAATATAATAATAATGTTATTAATAATAACTATAATAATAATTAAAATAACAATAACAACAATAACCACACCAACAATAATATATAATAATAATAATAATAATAATAATAATAATAATAATAATAATAATAATAATAATAATAATAATAATAATAATAATAATAATAATAATAATAATAATAATAATAATAATAATAATAATAATAATAATAATAATAATAATAATAATAATAATAATAATAATAATAATAATAATAATAATAATAATAATAATAATAATAATAATAATAATAATAATAATAATAATAATAATAATAATAATAATAATAATAATAATAATAATAATAATAATAATAATAATAATAATAATAATAATAATAATAATAATAATAATAATAATAATAATAATAATAATAATAATAATAATAATATCCGTTGAAAATGATTTAGATCAAATGAGAACAAAAAATCCAGATCAGACGGTATCTTAAAGTATTCATATCATATCAGAATTCAGAATCGTTAATATTAAATGAACCAAACATCTTCCAAGTCTTTCAAAATTTTGTTGTGCTTCAATGATATATGGTGTTAAGTAAGAGTAATCAGAAAATAGTAATGATAGTTTAGCATATTTAGGAGATTGTTACTTTTAAAAATTTTGTACGAAATGAGAATTATCATTTAAGAAGAATAACTTTAAGAAAATACTTTTAGTCTTTTGGTTTGGAATATGAAAATAGAATAAACATAAGTCGTGAGCTTGCAATACAATATAATTTCAATTATTCTTGATGCATGTCTCCTTTTTAGTCCAATAGTTTATTAGGGCTCAAATTATATCTTACAATGATGAAAGTTATAAAATTCAATATATTTAGTGTCTTAGAAAATTTCAATCTAAAACAATCTCAATAATTAACCAATTTAACTTCCATTTCAATTTCTCCGCCATAAATTGAAGTAAAAGGCACGAAAGATCAAAGTACACATTTGGAGCAATTTCTCTGCTATTTTTATTGTCACTATAATGAAAATTTTGAATACAATTATAGTAATTAAAGAAGTTAATCGTAAAATAGTACTTCATATGTCCCTCATTTATCTTCCATATAGTACATTTGACACGAGGATTAAGATAGTGGGCATTGTGCGGTGGAAAGTTGCAAAAAATAAATATGTAAGAATGTGTAAGAAATGCTATGAAACACAAATTATTTGACAAAAAGAGAAAATTGAGATTATTTTGGAACGGACAAAAAGGAAATTTGGAAGATAATTCAGGGACAGAGGGTGTATCGTTTTCTTGTGTTAATATGATCACATTTAGAGATTTTTTCGTTCTAAGATAATATACTACGTACATATTAAATGAGAAACAATCATACATAGAGCCCGTTTGGTAGCATGAAAATCGGCTGTTTTGGCTGATTTTGCTGAAATTTATGAACTTCTGGCTGACGTGACTGCATTGGCTGATTCTGCTAATTTAAGAAAAAATTATTTTTAAAATATATTTTATTAATAAAATAAAGAAAAAATTATATGTAAAAATAGCTAAAATGGTCATCTACGGCAACTTCAGCCAATACAGCCCGGAAATTAACTCCAACCTTACTTTTTCTGCTTATTACACAATTCAATGCGCTAAAACAAAAGTTGATAAGGCTGATAAGGCAAAAAACAGTGCTGCCAAACGGCCTCATAAGTTAACATCAAAATATACTCCATAATAAAATTTTCAATCTTAAAAGCTACTAGTATTTTTTTTTTAAATTAAAACTTTTTGAAAAAGAAAAGATGAAACATCTAATAGACTCATAATTATAGTATAACTAGTATTCTACCCGTGCGTTGCACGGGATGTCAAATGAAGATATTATAAATGTTAACATATAAATGTATTAGATCGGAATATTTTTTAAAATATTAATAACAAATAAATAAAAAATTGAATGGTAATTAATAAATAAATAATATGGAGTAACAGATATGGAGTATTAGAATTTTAATAAAAACTCAGTTAAAAATTATTCAAGATTTGCTTGTAGACAACACATTTGTTATTTTCTTTCTTGATTATCTATAGTCGCATATCACGAACTTCACGTCTGACGGAATTATCACATTTGAAAGTGCAACTAACTGTCCATATGTAGAAATTGGATATCGCAGGAAAATACCCATGATTTCCAACGATCACCCCTGACTCATTGATAAAGCCCTTCATTCCCGGTCAGTTCTTTCTTTTTATTACATCTCCAAATCAACGATAAGACCCTTGACCCTTCAATCTCGATCACTTCTTTCTTTTTAATACTCCCTCCGTCCCAAAATCGTTGGCCAATGTTGACTTGCACGTGGATTAATAAAGTAAAAACTGTGTGGTTAAAATTTGTGCAGAGGAGAGAGAATTAACTTTAGCCACATATTCCTTACTTTAAATGGAAATGGCCAACCTTTTTGGGACGGCCAAAAAAGGAAATTTGGCCAACCATTTTGGGACGGAGGGAGTATTTATTAGTTGCGTTGAAGATCCTTCAACCTTCAAGAATTGAGTCTTAAAATATTGAAATTGGTGTAAATAAAATGTAAATTTGCAGAAGCATTCTTAAAATTTAACATATTGAGACATGTCTTATGCTAAAAATTGAAAGGAACAACATAATAAAACAATGAATATGCTCAATGACACAATTTGTCTCTGATTAATACATAACCAATAACCAATAAAGATATTACTAACCGGTCAATCTTTCATTGTAGTCTTTTAAAACTATCTCAAGAAAATGGCTCCAAAGGATAGCCAATAACCTCGTTAATCAAGAAAAAAAAGAACATATATACATATGCTCCAAAGGATAGCTAATAACTGTTGAAAATGGCTCCAAAGGATAACCAAGGATAACCAATCTAACTGTGTTAACTTCAACCTGCTATTCTCTAGCTGTTGAACATATGTTTGGTAGAGTACCATAAGACTAATATAAATAGCCAAATGTATATTGGGAAGATAAAATGGAGGCATACTTTGTTTTCCGATCTGCCTTTTCTGGTAGCTTCTTAGTTCTATGCAAGTCTTCTTAGTGTATGAAATTGATATGCTTAGCAAGAGAACTTTTTTGGAAGCGGCCACACCAGTGTAATGACCACCCATTTCAAGCTGCACAGAGAAGAACTGTTTTAATACACATAGCAGCTTAAACAAATAAAACTTTGGGTACCATGGCATCCTAAATGAAATTTAGAAACATATGTTCCAATCAAATAGGATACTCATTTAACATTCAATGCGATCTAGAGAAGTTAATTGGGATATAGAGCTGTATTAAGTCTTAGAAAATGTAAACTATATAAAAAATACAGCCCGAACTAAATTCAGATGGTTCTTGTCAACGATCATCCTTTTTTGTTCCAATGTCTATGGAGTATGAATAACTAACTTGATATTAAAAGACAGAATAAAGAATAGGTTAAGACCTTATAGATGTGAAATTTAGATCAAACCATATGCATTAAAATTCTAATAATCTTGGGAAGAAGTTTGTATAAAATTGATAGTAAAAATTCAACTAAATTGGCAATAGAGTAATATTAAACTATGCCTGCATGAATGCTGGGACAACTTCAAGTGTGTTACCAAGCTTCAAACTTAAATACTATCATAACTGGAATTGAATATCCTCCAGAAAGCAAACCATTGGCAATTTTTGTACCTGCAAATAAAAGAAGCTTGTCAAAGGGGATTTGGTTCTAGAATTCCATACATTAGATGGTGAAAGCAGAAGCAATGCTGAAAATGACATCCCTTAGAATTCACTTGATACCGTATCAACTCGATCTACTTCTAAGCTCCGTAATTTGCGATTTCACTTCAAACTCAAAGAGTATTTTTTGGAAGAATTGAGTTCAAGAGGTTCATAGGTAATTCTGCTAATATACAATCAATCGACTTACTGTATACACAGACTCTTGACTCTTGGCTCTGTTTTTCATTTCATGTCATTACTATGTTATGAGGTCATATATAGGTAAAGAATAGATAAAATGGATTGAAGAAAAAGAATTAAAGAACTACATCTTTTCTCATCTTGCCATTATCATGCTCAATCAAAATCAACTATCAACTAACCCAGAGTAAAAATACAGTCTGTTGATAAGAAATTTTAAGAAGTAAAATTGAAGAACAAAAATGATTGAATAATCTTGCTTGAAGGAAAAATAATCATTTGAGCAGAAATTTTTGAATTATAATTAATAAAATGAAAAGTACGATACGTACACATTTACAATCAGCCCTAATATAAGATGATACAATTCATGTAATACAGAGTTGTTAATAACTATTTTCAATATCTAGTGTTAAAGTAGAGCATGGGGAGATGTAGATAAATAGAGAAGAATAAGCATAGTACGTAGTAATAGAGATGGTATTATATATATGAAAATAAATTTAAAATACGGCCCAGATAAATTGCAGAAGACTTCATCTTTGAGTCAATCACGATAAGTAGCTATAAATATTGGAATTAACACAAACAAATAAAGTGATAAACCTCCTGGATATATACGGAGAATAGGTAAGGAGTTCATAAAAAATGAAAATAACAACAAAATGAAGAAACCCAAACATAAATAAAAACAAAATAGTTTTTTTACTATGTATGATAGATTTTGACAGAACTTCTAAAAATGCTTAATTTTAATGAAATGAAAAGGTAAGCATGCGACCTCACCTTGTATACCTTCATCCAAAAAGTATATCACTTCTGACTCCTCTATAAAGAAAAATGGAAGATTGAATTAGAATTACCTGGTTAAAAACAACGATTTATAGTAAAGCTAAGCATGTGAGCTCACATTGTATACTCCATGTGGAGTAGGCTCACCTTGAGCCCGTTTGGTAGCATAAAATCGGCCATTTTGGCTGATTCAGCTGAAATTAATGAAGTTCTGGTTGAAGTGGCTGCATTGGTTGATTCTGCCGATTTAAGGGAAAAAATATTTTTAAAATATATTTATTAATATAATAAAGAAAAAATTATATGTAAAAATAGCTAAAATGATCATCTACAGTAACTTCAGCCAATACAGCCAGAAAAGCAACTCCAACCTTACGTTTTCTGCTTATTACATAATTCAGCGCGCGAAAGCAAAATTTAAGTGTTTGGTGAAAAAGTTGGCTGATAAGCCGAAAAACAGTGTTGTCAAATGGCCTCCTTGTAACATACTCCCTACGTCCCGCTATGATTGTCTCATTTTACCTTTTCGGTCCGTCTCACTAAGATTGTCCCATACCTTATTTGGTAAAATTTGTGTGGTTCTAAATCATTCTTACTTTATTTTTACTTTATCAATTCAATATCAACCACATAAATCCACTTTTATTAATAACTGTGTCACCTTCTCTTGTACCAAACTTAGGGGGACGGAGGTACTAGTAAATTAATGGTTGTCATGTGGAGTAGTATACATTGGCACATTTAGCCCCTAGCAGAATCCATAATGACTAACTTTCAAGGGGAACCAATTAAGATAAAAGTGGTGTTTGTTGAAGAAGAAAAATTTAACAGTGAATTGAGTAATTGAAGATTTCTAACAGAAGTATAATTTGATGATATGTTTTTTGAAGTAGAAAACAGAAGTATGAATTGATGATATGTTTGGATCCCTTAACATGAGTGTCAATGTTCATGACCCGTACCATTTAGGCATCTTCTTAATGTTTCTTTAGCACTTTTAAAAATCAAAAGGGCTAAATGAGTACTTATCCTTACTTACCATCATACACCAGGTTATACAGATTTAGCATGCTAAAAGTACAAAAAAATTCAGAATTAAGAGGGATGAAATGGAGGTTTGCATTGCATAAAAAAAAGGTTTAATCCAGACCTAATTGAATGAAACCAAGATGATGCAGAAACTAAGTAATTTGGTTCAATCGGAATTGAAACCCAGAATCCTCTTTTAAAATCAGAATTGACCCAGCTGTGGAAGAGGGGTGTTCCGGAGTTTGCCATCCGGCTGTTCTCCGGAAGAATTAACCCGGCCGGTGAAAATGCGTGATTTTGCACGTTTCCAGACCCAGCAATTGGATCACTCGTGAACCCAAAAAGAAAATGTCAAATTCAGGAGAAGCCGATTGCGGAAAAAAAGTTTTAAACAAATTCTAACCTCAACTCCAGGTTCAGCAAATCTGAAATTCCTTCGGTTTTGAATTGAGCTGACACCGTTGGTAAGAAGGGAACCGGCGTGTAATTTGGAATGCTTTGATGTTGAAGAGAGCCGCCATCTTCAGTCAGAAATGAAATTCGCGTGTTTGTAAGCAACAAATAATTGCGGTAGACAGACGGAGGAAGGCGAGAAAGGATATGAAACCTCTGTACTTTGATCTGGAAAAAAAAGGATGAAATATTGAAGGGTAAAAGAGATGAGAAGCTACAGATGAATATGCAGGGAGTGAGTTGGACAGTGATTATCATAAAGCTTGATACCATAGCCGGCGAAATTGAAGAGGCTATGCGAGAAACGGAAAGATGGATGAGAGGAGGGAGATTGGAAACGGGAACGCAGATAGCGGAGAAATCGAAAGCTGAAAGGAACAGTGAAGATGGGTTTGAGCGAACGATTGAGATGTAGTTTGGCTGTGGAGCGGGAATACTGTTCAATGAACAGTAAAAATATTCAATGAACAGTAACAACTTGTATTGCTTTCATGTATTAGATAGATTCGTACACGTAAGTTTCAAAGAATAATGATTATTATCATAAGCCCTATATAACATAGATTATTATACCACGTATTGAAACATAATGTAACCTAGTTACCTAGGTAGAGACTTAACTTTTCAAATATGTATGAACATGACTAATAATGATTGTAATAATCTATATATTAAACGTAGCATATGTGTAGTAGTGACATAGCTTTGCAAATATACATGAATACTATTGATAATTATAAACATGAGTATATTTGAAACAGAAAAAGATCATGTCCTTCCGGGTGGACAGGAGCCTCCGTCCAGCTATCGCCGTTTGGGGAGGTTCCCAGTGGAATTTTTTGATAAAATTTTTTGAGCATGTTTTTCATGAAGTCTATTTTATTCATACCAAGTTTCAGCTAAAAATTCAACCGGGAATGCACTCAAATGAGTTTTGAAAGATAACTGTGTTTTATATGTATATGAAGTGCACAGTTAACTTCCAAAAATCATTTGATTTCCTTCCCGATTGAATCTTTAGCTAAACTTTGGTATGAATAAACTAGACTTGACGAAGAACATGCTCAAAAAATTTCAGCAAAAAAAAATACACCGGGAAAGGCCCCAAATGGCGAGTATTGGCGACGGCCGGACGGCGGGTCCAGTCCCTCTGGCTGGACAGGATCATTACTCTATTTGAAACGTTACCTATGCAGTGACGTGTGGTTAATAGTAATTAAAAGAATGGCACATGACAATAATACAAATAGAATGACACATGACAATTAGATTTCTACATTTTTTATTCACATCCCATAGTTGGGTATTTAGACAAGCAATTTAATATTTTAATTAAAGTACTCGGTATTTTCTCTTAACAAATCTACTTTTTGTAAAAGCAGTTACGCGGAGTACTTGACTCGGGGGTCACTGTGTTTGTTGGGTGTTGTGATCTTCGAGAATCAAGATTATCATAGGCTCATAGCAAGTGATTAGGGTTTAATGCACCAAATCCCCCTGTGATTTGGAAATTCGGCGCATTAGCCCCCTGTGATTTAAAAAATGCGTCAAACCCCCCTGTGTTTTAATTAATCATGCACAGAACCCCTTTATGAATAAATTTAACGATTTGAAAATCACTTTTCGTAATATTTTGATTGAATATGCAAATAAATATGTCAAAATCTCTGAATCATACAAAAATGTTGATCATTTTTCTTTTATTTGACAATTGAATTTGTTCACATAAGGGATTTGGCGCATGATTAATTAAAACACAGGGGAGTTTGACGCATTTTTTAAATCACAGGGGGCTAATGCGCCGAATTTCCAAATCAGAGGGGGGTTTGGTGCATTAAACCCCAAGTGATTAATGATTATATTTGGTAGAAAAGCAATTTCACAAAACAATGTTTTTCTTATGTTTTCAGATATACAAAAAATAACTTTGTGCATGTTTGGTATGCATAAATCCTCATCTTCCAGCTTTTGTACTATTTAAAGAGTTTCTAAAAGCTTGTAGTTATATGTTTGGCGTGACAGTTTCTAAGAGTTTTTAAAAAATAAATGATTTGTTTTTAGACTCTATCGTGAGTAACATCTGAGAAAGGTATGTAATTTTTTGCATTATTCAGTACCAATAGCCAGGGGCAGATTTGCAGGTGCAGGGGGCTGGTGCCCTTGCTTCACCGGAATCACCGGTCCGAGAGGTATAGGACTGGGTAGGGGCCCGCCGGTCTGGTGCCTTCTCCATTTAGTTTTTCGGCGATTGCATGTTGAGGGTGAGGATCGTACCGAAGATGATGAACTAAACTGATGGAAGAAGACTGAGGTTTTTTTTATTGAGGTAAGGGTCAATTGAGTACCTCAACTTATATGATGTGCATTAAAGAATACACTATGGTGCATTTGACATTGGTAAGTATATAAACTCGATTTTTTTAGTGTTAAATGAGTACACGCACTAGATTAATAGGTTAATATGGCTAAGTGGACTAAAAGAATGCAAATTAAGAAGAGGTAATCGGTCAAGATAATGGTGTCGACCTCTAGGAAGTCAACCAATAAGGGGTGCATCGACCTGCATGGATGCATCGATCAAGGGGAAGTCGACCTGCGGGGGACTAATGTCGATCAAGGGAAAGTCGACCAAGGGGTCGAGGCGGGCGTCGACCTTCAAGAAGTCAACCTATTAACATTTTGTTAGCCAACTCAGACAAATTAACGTGTTAATTTACCGGGTGTACTCAATTAACACCAAAAATTCGAGTTTGTGTACTTAGAAATGTTAAATGCAGTATAATGCACTCTTTACTCCATATCATATAGTTGATGTACTTAATTGACTCTTACCTCTTCTTTTATTTATTGTGGAACAACACCATTTCGTAGGATCAATTAAAAAAATCAGCTCAACTTTCCTGGCCGATTGGGCCAGCTGCCAAGCCCCAACAATTCAAGAAACAGCCCAAACAAGGAAATAGGCGTTAGACAGACCAAGCGGCAACTCGACAAGCCTTATACTTACATGTATTTGCAATGAATTTTGATTATAACCCAATACTTACAATTCAGAGCATCACACAAGTTTTCAACGTACTCCTAAATAAATTCAGATCATAAAAACTTCCTCCCAAGTCCCTACCGTGAGTATAATTTCTATTCACAGCCCTCAAATTACTAACCACGGCGACTATATTAAATAATAAACAATAAAAATAAAACAAATCTCTTAATCCCTTACTGTAGGTGTAAAGATAGTTAAGTGAGCATTGAGGCAGCCTAGCTGGAGACCCAAACAGCCACTGCCCTTCTTCTTTCGGCCGAGCATGAGTTTGCTGCTCCCGATGGGAGACCCAAGCTGCCATTGCCTTCCCTTACCCCCTGTATGGTTGGGGGATTTTGGAGGGGAGGGAAGGGGACGATTAATTTTCTACTTTATTAATTTATCTGAATTTGTTAGTTTTTGACTCCAAATAAATATATAATTAGTTAAACCATGTATTATTATATACTATTGTATCCTCATTTCATTTCAGTTTGTCTATATTTCATGTGGGAGGCCTCGCCTAAATTTGTTGAAGTCTCATCGCCGTTGCAGGGTAGGCGGCTTAGTCATGTCTACATCCCGTCGTTTCGCCAACTCACCAGATGCAATCTCCGTCGAAGTCGTTGAAGCCCATTCACTGGCGGAGATCCCATCTAGAAACTGATTAATGTTCCCGGTCGGTCACTTCCTGGAATAGTCCCGATGAAGGAGCCGAATTAGATAGAGCTCCCTTCTTCGCCAGCCTATTATCAGACATTTCGCCGGCGACAACGACGGACTCCCTGTGAGTCGGCAGAGCACTATCTCATCGATTGTTGCTCTAAGGGCGTATAGTTTAGTTTTGTTTTTTGAACAACAACGGACCACAATAAGGGAGACTTTACTTGTTTGTTCATTTCGTTGACCTCTTTTTTGGTGTGTGATCAAATCCATTTAGTGTGGAATATAGAGTAGACTTGAAGGTGTTTGAAATCCAAACGATATTGAAATTAGCATACAATTTACATGATTAATTTTATACACAGCGCATGAAACTCAATTTTAATTCAAATTTTAACTCATTTTGTATGTGACGATGCGATCCTTTTTATGAGAGTTACATGAAAAATTAATTTTATTTATTCAAAGAGACTCTTATTTGGTCCAGAAAGTCCTTGTAAAATCAATTAACATTTTGGATAGAGATTGTATTTGTCAGTTGTGCGATTCAAATTCATAGCCTACAAAACCATCCAAAATCCCACGAAATTGTGAAGGATGGGAGACGTTCCCTCCCCTCCATGGACTCATTGCATGTAAATGTACGTTCGACACTATTAAACCTTACCCATTGTCAATATCTCAACCAAAGCGGGCGGCGGCAACCATTCTCTTCATCGCCCCTGTGAACCAGCAAGGTGGTGAAAATGGTTCCGCTAAGGCTATCAGTCACCTCCGTTCTCCTCATCTCTTCCTTCCTCTCTGCCGCCTCTGCCTTCAATATCACAAGGATCCTTGACCATTACCCTGATTACACCACATTCAATGATCTCTTAACCCAAACTGGTTTGGCCTCCGAGATCAACCAACGGTCAACAATAACCGTTCTGGTTGTCAGCAATGAGCATATCAGAGATCTCTCCAGCCTCCCCACTGAGGTGAAGGAGAGCATACTCAGAACCCACATCATTTTAGATTACTTTGATCTCATGAAGCTCAACCAACTTAAGGATAACACTGCCAAGCTGACAACTATGTACCAACAGACAGGTGTTGCCTCCTATGATCAGGGGTTCTTGAACGTTACTACCGGTGAAAATGGTATCGTGTTCGGCTCTGCCGTTAAGAATGCTCCACATGATGCCCGACTCGTGGGATCTGTCATGAGCAGGCCTTATAATATCTCTGTTCTCAGTGTTTCACATCCCATTGTGACTCCTGGCCTTGATGGGAGCTTCCAACCGGTAGCAGCACCACCTCCCCTTCCTAAATCCAAGGCCCCAGCCCCCGTGCCAAGCCACAAAGAGGAAGCTGTTCCCGCTCCGGTCGAGGCTCCGGTGGAGGCAGATGCTCCTGCTGCCAATGCCGACTCACCGAGCTTTAGTCCAGCCGGGTCCCCACCTGAGCCGGCTGATGGACCCGAGGCAGATGCAGATGCGCCCGGTGCAGATGCGCCGGATGCAGATGCGCCGGATGCAGATACAGCAGATACTTCCAAATCAATGGCCAGGAAGTCTCGCATATCCTTCGGTGGATTCTTTGTTTTAGGTGCTTTAATGGCAGCTCTGTAACTTTTTGTGAGAAAAACATGAATCAAGATATAATGGGAGGACTAACATTAAATCATAATGGGAAGGGGAATGAAGGTTCTTGAAAGATATTGTGTTTTCACGTTAGCCATGAACCTTCACATCCGCACATACACATGCAAACACACTTAGCAAGCACAAAACTAACACCTGAGGCAATATTGTTAATAATACTACGTTAGTCTGCGTATATAAAGATCTTAACCAATTTTGCCAAACCCATTTTATTCCTTGTCCATCTCCTACAGTATATAGTTCATAATTTGGAAATTCCTGCATATACATATATATACATGTGTGTATTACTACATATCATTAATCAATGAATTTTGAAAGGTGGGGGGGGATGTGGTATTTGCAAGAATCAAATTTCCAAATTGTATCTATTAAGCTAATCAAACTCAAAAAGGACCTACTCAATCCAGAAAAGCATCAATCCCAAACCTATATTAAATTAAGCATTGTAGATTCTTAGTGGGAAACAACACATTGTGCATCAATTCTTTATCCAATGCAAAGACATACATTCTCTTACTGTACTATGTTAAATCGAACCAGCACAATATGAAGCTAGTTAAATGTGACCAGAAGAAGAAAAAATAGTTGCAGGTTAAAACTTAAAACCTTTTTTGGAATCAACAAATTCAGTGCCTATGTATTATTTACGATGCACCTCCACGTCGGACATTAACTTGGGCAGCCTGTTCTTTTGTTGATACTTTGCACATGAATACCACACGCCACCGGCTGTGTTGATCACCAATCCAGTGACGTTTAAGGCATGCACTTGAACTCCTCCTAACAATACAAAGCCTAGCGTCTGCATTATCCGACACCAAAGGTTTTTTCATAAGAACTGGTGTTTGATTGCCATTTAGTAAATCAATAAACAAAGGATAAGAATGTCAAACTATTGTGCATAGGATGTGATCTCACAATGAAACGAGACCAAAATGTAATACGGAGTAATTTAAAACACTGGCTTAGCTGAGAGACCATCTCAGGCCTGCCCCGTCCCGAGTTTGGTAAAACAAAAAATCAAAAAATGTGTAAATATATACTAATATTTATATGAACAAGTCATTTTCGGGCCCACCCCAAAATCATATTTTGACAACTTTGGCAAAGTCAATACTTCCGAAAGACACTTTTTAAAAAAATGACTTTCAACTTTTACTGCCTTTTGGATAATATTTTGACCTCACCCTGAGAACATCCTCACACAAGTTATGTTATTTGCACAAAGAAACAGAAGACTGAGAATTATGTTATATTTTATACGCACCGTGGATCCAACCCCCTTGAGCACTCCAACAATTGTGGTAGTTAAGGCAGAGTTGACTATGGTACATAAAAACATTGTGTAGTTCAAGACTATGCCCATCACAAGTGAAAGAAGAAGAATCACAAAGAATGATACTGATGTAGTCTGTTCATCGAGGAAGACAATATTTAAGATACTTTTATTACTATCATTAACATAAAAATAAGGAACAAGCAGAGGAAAAGTGACAGAGCTTGTCATACAAATGCATAAAATATGCATTTAAAAGGAGAAAGATAATTTTATGTGATAATTTTACAACCGAGGTTGTTCCGGGTAGGGGCACACATGGTCCTGTCAGTTCCGAATTCTGATCCTGGAACCCAGGATTCTGGTTCTGAGTTTTGTGAATCGGGTAAACGTAATCGGAAATTCAAAAAGAATAAAAAAATCCCAATTCAGAATGGGAACCGCCAATTCTGGAATTCTAAACCTGGAACCTTATCCCATTGGTTGGATTCCAGTTCCTTGACCTCTCAATCTCTCATATATATGTTCTCTGTGTACTGCCTCAGATTGGACCATATAATGAAAGGGAAACTACAAGAACATAGAGAGAAAATTTGGAGGATAGTAAAAAAAGGTCTAGATTCAAATCATTCAACAAACAATACTTCCTTTGTTTTTTATTAGTTGCTCCTGATTCATTTTTGGAATGTTTTTTAATATTTTCTCCCATTTCCTAATTTGGCAAATATTTCCATATCAAAATACATAAATAGCCTGACATTATCATCTTGTCTCTCTAATTCTTTAGTTTTGCATCTACTATCTCCTACTATTACTACCCCTACAATTTTCTTCTTTAACCCAGTGAACAAACTAGAGGAGCATCTAATAAAATGAGAGGCATTATTATGTATTTGTTCAAATTCAATCAATTTATTTATTTCTATCCTGTAAAGGCTCGGAAAGTTAAACATGTGTGAAATTCTAAGGAATTTTATTCATATTTGACTTTCCTGTATATTTTCCAGGATAGAGCATAAAATCAAACATCTATAAGACTAAAAGGAGTGTGATAAATGGGCCTGTACAGCTAAGGATTCTATTCAAGTCTACAAAGAAAGGTTTCCTGAATGAAGATTCAGGTTAACAATTAATGCACTGAACATATTGAAAGTAGAAACGATGGCTAACAATCTGACCTTTGCAAATAATATGGACAGCGAATTTGGAAACTCTCCAGTGGCTATGATCAGGAATAGTAGAAATGGTAAAGACAAAATGCTGTTGTAGAACATAATCTCTATTGATGAAAGCCCATCCTCTGCTCCTGACCTCTCCACTAAAACAAGGTACATGGTCTGCAAATGACAAAAAATAGCACTTAACTGACCGTAGGAGCACAGAGAACTATCTCCTGAAAAGCAATGAACAGGCATACCTGAAAGAAAACAGATATAAAGCCCATGCAATATCCAAAAAGATCAAAAGAAAAGTCTCCTACTGCTGCCACAAGAACCCCAGCAGCAATTGTCACTACAGAAAGAGTTACCTGCACCAAGAGATAAGGTTGGAACTTGAAATTGGCACTATATAGGATAAACTTGGAACCAAGAATGGAATATTATAGAGGGCATTTATAGTTTGTCACTGATGTGTGTACTTCCTCGGTCACTTTTATATCTTCAATCTTTTCTTTTTCTTCCCTTCTAAAATTATTTCATCTTCCCTTTTAAGGAAGAGATTCTGTAGTTATTATTTGTTGTCTCTTCTATAAAAATCTCAACCACACAGATGTTTTTTTCTTAAGAACGCAACAGTCAAACTATGAGATAAATAAGGGACAAAGCATAGATAAAATTGGTGAGATTCTCAGGGGGGGAAAACTTTAAAAGGAAAGGACAAGGAACTAAGGAAGGAGTGAGAAAACCCTGATGGATCTATCCAGACGTACAAGGCCAGGTTGGTGCAATAGGTTTTCATGAGAGATATGGTTTTGATTTTGTGGAAAGAATTCTACTCACACTTGCAATTTCTAACAAATGGCCCATTCAACAACTTGATGTTAGCAATACATTCTTGAATGGTGACATTGAGAAAGAAGTGTATATGGTACAGCCTCCTAGCTTTACATCTACAGATAAATATCTAGTCTGTAAGCTTCATAAAGTCCTATATGGACTTAAACAAGCTCCTAGAGCTTGGTTTCTAAAGCTAACCTCTGCCCTACACACTCTTGGATTCAAGCAAACCAAATGTGATCCTTCTTTACTTGTTTTTCTAACTCCTGATGTCAGAATTTATGTGTTGCAGTGTTGATATATGTTGATGATATTCTAGTAAATGGAAACAATTCCACAGTTATTCAAAAACTCATTCAGAAGCTAATACTTCATTTTCACTTAAACATTTGGGAGATCTTGAATTTTTCTTAGGAAATGTGGCCAGAAAACTTTCTTATGCCAGTGTACATCAATCTCAAACTAAATATGTGAGAGATTTACTTGAAAAGGCTGGTATGCTCAGTAACTGCAAGCTTACCAAGGAAGATGTTGCATTCATGAATGATCCTTCTCACTATAGGTCAATTGTGAGAGAATTACAATATGCAACAATCACAAGACCTGAACTTAGCTATGCAGTTAACAAAGTATGTCAGTTCATGGTAAAGCCCCTGAAAGAAAATTGGATAGCAGTTAAACGCATTCTCTGGTATCTTTCAGGAACAATTCAGCATGGCATTCTATTAAAACCAGCTTCTTCTCCTTCAGCTTTTACCAAATACTATTTCTTGGTGGTCAAATAAACAAATCTGTGTTGCCAGATCCTCTGTTGAAGGAGAATACAGAAGTTTGGCAGATACTTCTGCAAAAATTCTATGCACTATTGGACTTGATCCTTACTTTAAGAAATTAAAGTATCACTTTATACACCTAGAGTATATTGTGATAATCTTATACAGTTCATCTAGCTCACAATCCAGGCTTACATTTCAAGACCAAACATATGAAGCTTGATCTATATTTTGTACGAGAAAAGGACTACTCAAAACAACTTGAAGTTCTACATATTCCTGCACGCTATCAAATTGCTGATGTGTTGACCAAACCTCTTTCAAGTACCAGATTTCTTAAACTCAAGTCAAAGCTTAATGTGATGGAGCTTCAAAAAACAAATACCTGAACTTAAATGGGGACCGTTAGGACTTAGGAGTATATGTACAAACGTGTAACTAATCTGATGCTTAGTTTGTATTAGTTGTAACCTACTGTCCTAGTCAGCATGTTAGTTATACATTAGTTTAGCCTTAACTAATATATAAGTCCGTGTACATGCTTTCCAGATATGATTGAATAATACTACCTCCGTCCCTTTTATATTGGGACGGACCATGATGGCACAATTTTTAAGAAAAGTGGGTTTATGTGGTTGATATTAATTGATAAAGAATAAAGTAAGAATGATTTTGAGCCACACAAACTTTACCAAATAAGGTATGAGACAATTTTAGTGGGGCTTCCAAAAAAGGTAAAACGGGACAATATAAGTTGGACGGAGGGAGTATCATTTTCTTTCTACATTCAGTTTCTCAATAGACTCAAAGAAGGGAAAAGGGTCAAATAAAGCACTCTACTATTATAAAATCGTCACATAAGGTCATGTACTCAATAAAGTGTCATATAAATACGTCTACTTATAAAAACCAATCGGATGAGTCCTAACGACATGTTGATAACCTTGTAATCCCGGTTTTAGCATACGTTTGGCTATCTTTTTAAAATGGATTATAAGGCTGATGTGGAATATTTAGCCAAGATTGGCTTAAATACAAGGCAAAAATAACGACATGTACGCTAAAATCGGGATTAGAAGGTTGTCATCCGGTCGTTAGGACTCATCTCATTGCTTTTTATACAAGATTGCATGACACTTTATTGAGTACATGGCCTTATGTGACGATTCTGTAATAGTAGAAGGCCTTATTTGATCATTTTTTCCAATAGTGCACACTGAACAAGGTAAGTAGGGTTAAGAAAGATACCAAACAATATCTGAGGAGAAATAGAACCCATTCTTCATGTACCACACATCACTTATTGTCCAAATTCAGTTATAGTGCTACAGCTATGGATACTAAAATTTGCGCCAATTAATATGATGAAGACCTTGTTCTTAGTGGTATTTAAAGTCACATTTATTGATAAAATAACTGAACTACTCCATCCGCCCAAAACAGAGACTTGTTTGAGTAAGATAAAACTTTTTACTTTTAGTCCACTTAATCAAGGTACAAGAAGACACTTGAAAGTTAAACCCCTAAATATACTTCAAGAATTGTTTAGAGCATACATTAAAATCTCTTGCTGCTTGGCTATACAAGCACTTAAAAGTGAAAGTTAACTTCTCAAAACAGACAATTTTGGGTCATAAAAAATCCTTGAAACATAACATTTTTGGGGCGGAGGGAATATTGTATTACCATGTGACAGATAACATTTTCTTAAAATCAGAAGAAGCTGTTGTTGTAATAATTAATCTAGTGTAGAATTGTAAGATGAGTATAGGGTCTCAAATGATTTGTAAAACTACGAAGACTCATTTATTGTGTCGAAGAATCTACATGGGAGAGAACTGGTGGTGTTAAGGCTTATAGAGCAGCTTGATTGGAGTAAAGGATGCATAAAAAGAAAAGCTGATAATCCAGCCATAGATCTTGAGGACACTCATGAATCTTAGATAAAACTCAAACATAATTCAATTTCAGGGCTCTAAAGAGAGCTAATAACAACTTTGAAGAGAAGCGAAGAACAAGTACAACAAAAGAATTCAGAAAGGAAATCAATTTTATCCAGCAATCACCATGACTCACCAAATACTTTAATATGTTCAGATAAATCTCAACTATTTTCTGACACCCCCCCACCCCCACTACGCATATATGTAGTATACATTTACAAATGCGCAGATGTTAAGAAGACAGAAAGTAACACCATAACATAGCATCACAACCCCAGAACCAAAACTACAAAACGTGTTGCCAGGAGCAGTAAGGAAACTAAATAAATCAAAGTATAAACCTGAGCTGTAGGTCTTCCCTTCCCTGAAAAGAATCCAGCTACTAATACAGCAAGTGGTGTAAGCCTTTTGATGGCAATATACATTGGAATATTTACTCCTTTCAAGCTGGCTAATGCAAATGCTACATTTGCATTATAGAACAAGGAAACTAGGAAAAGTTTCTTTGCAGTCTCTACGTTGAATCCTTTGGCTTTAGTGTATCCCAGTACCCTACTGAAGTGAATCAGCAAGGTTGATGCTAATTGCTGGTGATTTATATTTTTACAAACAGGAAACAAGGAACCAGGTCAACACCCAAACACATTTATTCATAATCAAAACGATTAAGCAGCACACAGCATCCAAGGCATAAACATTATAGTTTAGACCTGCAAAGTGAGCAGTGTCATGGACTGAGAATATTGCATAAGCACAGCTTTGTTTATGAACACCATAGCCATTGAAGCAATCCCGTAGGAGACCGCAACCAGCAAACTACGAATTAAATATGCAACCATCAAACCAGATTAGTAGACATCCCTGAGTCACACATTTAATCAAATAACTCTTAGCTGCATGCTGATCGGAAATGAAAGAGAACCTGGTAGACTGCCTAGCTTCCATGGTAGCCTTTCGATGTTACGAGCAGTGGGCTCCAGTCACTTCACTGACCAAATTCAAAAACACATTTTCATTGACAGTAGAAAGCGAGTTACAATGATACATAGCAGTAGAGGGTATTTCTCAGACTCGGATACATTACCCGATAGTTGACGGTGACAGCGTATTATAAGATCACAGATTACATAGCTTGGATGGGATTTCGGAGAATTGTATTATGAACATATGAGATATGACTCTCTTCGATCCAGATGGTCTGACACCTGATCAGGAACCAGATAACAGATCCCGTGATTCCCGTCCAGGACCCAGAATTCTAACTGCCCGGACTTAATTGTGATGTTGGGTAACTTGGGCCTAGAAATCAATTCACGCCCAGTTGTTTAGCCACTTATGTTAACTGCCCAGACTTAATTCTGACTTGAAGGTAAGCAAGTTATAAAATGACAAGTCTTGTCTGATGTCCCTCTAGAACCATACTTAGAATTAATCATTTCCGTAGAAGTAATATAATCCGCTAATCCCGCTTTGGGTTTAACTGAGCCAATGACTTTCAGACCAGACTCCACGTCTCCTGTCCTAGGTTCTAGAGTTTTATTGCCGGAAAAACACAGCACAACCAAAACAAAGTAAAGATCCAAATAAAAACGAAACATGAAGAAAATGAAATAAGAAAAATAAATTCTTTGAACCCTAGCACCTCGTTCAACCCCTGGTGGTGGTTCAGGAGGAGGCCGGATCATCGCTATGATTGTTGACGCGGACAAGGCACGACGACAGACCCTAGCGCAGATGGTTTTGCTCCCGCCAGTCGCAAACTCTCCTCCAGTCTGCCACAAATCTTTTCCTCTTGACGCCTCTCATGCGTCATCTCTTTACTATCGCATAACTTCCTCCATCGACGAGAGAACACAACCCTAGCAAATGTGCAAACGAAACAAGTCACTACCTTGCTAAAACAAGCCGCGCCCAATGACTGCAATATTCAAAACCCTAAGCCAGAAGATATCCGCCTTTCCTCTAGATAAGATTAAAAATTCCCTATTATCATTATCTTCATCGTCACCTTTCTTATTTTAATTAATATTAATAGTTTATCATTTAACTACTTTTTCCAATTCTAATCTTTGTCTAATAAGTAAATTTATATTTGTTAGATTTAGAACTAATTATGTTGAAATTTGTGGTCGTACTTTCATTTGGCTATTGTATAAACTTTTATTACTCACATTGATTTAAAGATTTTTTTTTTGAAAGAACATTGATTTAAAGATTATAAAGCAAAATTTCTCAAATAGGATTTGTTCAATCTTGTGTAGGAATTTTTCTTTTATTCTTTTAATATGACTAAATATGTCTTATTTTGAAAAGAAAGCATACTTAATAACTTAATTAGTTCTATTTGAGAACTATAGACATGTTTTATTCCCTTTTGAGCAACTTTTATTATATTTATTTATGCTTATTTAATTAAGTAAGAGCTGTGAGAAATATGAATTACTACCTCCGTCCCTTAAAACTTTATCAAGTTTGACCGATACGAGGATTAATAATGTAAAAACGGTGTGATTGAGAATTGTAGCAAGTAAAGAAAATTAACTAGAACCACAAATTCTTTACTTAAAAGTGGCGGTTAATGAGACTTCCAAAAATGAAAGTTGTCAAAGTTTTAAGGGATGAGATGAATATTGCCATTTTTATGACACTAATTCCTTCCGGATGGCAAAAACATTATCAATAATGCCATATTGTAGTGATGACAATGTTTTTCCCTTGCAAATCCAACATCTATAATGCCATCAATATGTCAAAATAACATTAAGATTATTTATATTCTCTATTTTGATATAATGGTAATTCAATAGTCATATAACATTTTAAATCACTTCTTTTTTTGAGGTTTAAGATCTGCATTGGTGAAACCAAATGTTGATGGTTGTGCTACAAGAGCCGCAGTGACGAACAAGGAGACAAACGCTCTGGATCTGGCGGCGGCAGATGAGGTGGCAGCGGCGGCGATGAGATGGCGGCGTTGATGACCGGCAGCAACAACGGTGACTAATCGGACAACTGCAACACCGACAGAGACAGTGATAATGATGGATGTTGTGGCGGCCGGCGGCGGCCGGTAATGACTAATGACAGCGGTTGTAGCTAATGTAAGTCGTGGGTGGTGCTGGCGGCGACTTGTGGCTTGGGGTTAGCAGGGACGGATGTATGTGTATGGGTAGGGGGGCCATGGCCCCTCCCAACTTTTTTATTTTTTAGTAATACTACTATTATAAATGAAATAATCAGTAAAGATTGGGTCAAAACTACTCGATAGAAACTTTTATGTGAGATGCTTTCGGGTAGAATTTTTTGATGAATTTTTGTGAACATGTATTTCATAAAGTGTATATTATATCCTTCATATTTCAGCTTACATGCAATTGGAGAGTCAATTAAATAAATTATGGAAAAACACTGAGTTTTTTATACGAAGTATATTTTTTGGTACAGTGTTTTTCAATAATTTATTTAACTGATTTTTCGATTGAATTTTAAACTGAAATTAGGTGTAAATAATCTACACATCATGAAGAATATTGTCATAAAATTTCACCCAAAAAATCCATCCAGAAGCATATCAAACACAAACATCTGGATGGTGGATCCCGTCATGTAATTCTGAAAGGATCATTCCTCATTAATAGGTCTTATTTAGTTCTATTAAAAATTATTTGATTAAAGTTTGCCAAAATAGGAGTCAATAAGTCCTATTTTGAGATTAAAACAGTGATAATCTTGTTTATAAACTTTTTTTGTCCTATTTAGAGATTTTTTTCTTTAGTGTTTGTGTTTCTTCTTGGCCCCCCTTATGACTGAGTTCTGGCTCCGTCCCTGGGGGTTAGGGTGGGTGTGAGGGAACTGGTGTACACATGATCCGTTAGTTTATTGTTGTATTTCTATTTTTAATAAATAAAACAAAGTATTTATTAAGGGTATTTTAGTCAACTCATTCCTTTTTAATCCTATGGAACTATACGGATTATTGAACTCCTAGTTTTGCACTTTTGTTAAGATTTAGTCCTAGTTCGAGAATTATCTCCTTTCTTTGGTATATGTTTTACTTAAAGTTCTCATTTCAATTTCAAAAATAATTAATGCTTTTAAATGATAATTTAATCATCAATTATTAAAAATAATACTTTTATAACATCATGTATAGTACTATAGTTATGTCAATGAATCCATTATATATATATATACAGAGAGAGAATAATTCCTGTCCGGCCAGGCCGGACAAGAGGCTTGTCCGTCCACCTCAATTTGAGGTGGTTCCCGCTGTTATTTTTGGCATAAAATTTTTTTGTATGTTCCTCATCAAGTCTAGTTCATCCATACCAAATTTGAGTAAAAAAATCAATCGGGAAGGTCGTCAAATGATTTTTGCAAGTTAACTGCGTTTTATATGTGTATATTCCGGACCAGTTAACTTTCAAAAATCATTTTGTAAGTTAATCCTCAACTTCGATGGGAATTGCTGAAGCTAGCGATTGGGAACGAAAGGTCGAAAGCAGCTCACCTTCACTGGGAAATTAGGAAGCTCCGCTCTCTGTTTTTTTATTGATCATAAAACGGTGCCGTATTTGGTACAGGCATACCATGCTCAGGGTATGCCGATATCACGGTATAATTTGTGACCATATATATATATATATATATATATATATATATATATATATATATATATATATATCAAAATTTATCCTCAAAGTATACTCGAATAATAATTATTATCTAAATACGCGTACCATATTTGTTGTGTTGAAAGCATTCTAAAAATTTGACCAGCTTTAATTTTAGTTTGTTTGTAAATGATTTTTAGAAAGGAAAAACAGTCGAATAGGTCCTTCTACTTTTATGAAAAAGTCAATTAGGTCCTTGAAGTTTTTCGTGAATCAATTGAATCCTCAAACTATTAAAAATCAATCAAATTGATAAATTTAACCGGTTGGATACCAATAATACCGGTTGTCGCTGATTTGGACACTCATGTGGCTGAATTGGACACCCATGTGGCAAAAGTTTTGTTTTTTCTATTTTCTTTTCTTTTCTTTATCTTTTTTCTTTTTCTCCAATCTCTTTCTTCTTTCCAACGTATCTTCTTCTTCCCGCAGACCCATTTTTCCTCCCCTTCTCAATTGCTTTTTCTTCCGTTCTTTCTTCTTCGGCAGGAAACTTACCCACTACTCCGCCTTCTCCGGTCCGTACCTGACCTCCTCCACCTTCTCCGGCTAGAGCGACTTTTTCCACGCTGCCGCCCCTACTTGATCCATACCCACTACCTCCGTCATCCCTACCACCACACCAACCACCCTGCCGCCCCTACCTCCAAACCATCTACCTCCGCCGCCCTACGTCCAGACCCACACCTCCGACTCCCCTACCTCCATACCCACCACTTCCGCCGCCCTACCCCCATACCTACCACTCCGCTGCCCCTATTTCCATCGGGGGCGGATCTAGAAAATAAACTTATAGGGGCACCTTATTAGTAAAGTCACTAGAGGTCGAAACAAGAAAATATAATAAAAATTTAAAATATAAAATTCATAACATTATTCAAATACAAAATATCACTTTTATCACAATTACTCTATGAGCGTTCATTTTTTGAAACCTATTCATCACGACATCGTCTGTAACATAGTCTTTTCTCATCATTTATTGAGGAAAATCATAGCCACAAGTTTGACTAGAACTTGCTCTACATAGGACTAAAACTTAGACAAAATGTACAAATAGAATTACATGTTTTTTATTCTCGAAATAAGACTTATTTGATTCGATCTATTAAAAGTACAAAATTTTCCTATTAGAAAAAAAGTCTCATTTTAGGAAGAAAACAATGATAGTTCTATATGTGCACTTTATTTATATTGTAGTCTTATATAAGGAATTTTCCTTTAAGTGAGTATTTTCGTTTTTATCGATTTGATATTTTGATTAGAATGATATCCAAAAACTGTTTTCCTTTCTTCATGATTGGAAGGGAGTATTCCAACCAATTACTTAGACACTAAAGGAGTACACATTATTTTAATATAATCACCCCATTAATTATGATTAGATGGAAGTGTTTTTCTCTTATAGTACAGAGTATTTCTTTAATCTGCTCCAAAAAAATTGATTCAAAATAAAACAAATTACATTAAATTTAATTAATCATTAGTTAATTAAGAAGAGAGTAAAGAGAACGACTAGCTACGCATTATTCAATAGCTAAGACAATCAAAATAAATGGGTCACAAACATTAATTATTGATGGGGCACTGCTTATTTTTGTTGGGGGCACTCTACTATTACTTTATGAAAAGAATGATTTTGTAAGCTAAAAACTCAAACATATTGAGAAGTCATTGGGGGCATGTGCCCCTATCGTTTAGAAAGTACATCCGCCCCTGATTTCCATACTCACCAAGTCACCATCTTCTCTCTCCGTCCCTAAACACCTCCATACCCACACCGGGTGGCGTATCCAGGATATTCAACCAGCGGGGGCAAATTTACATTAACGGTATCACACATATTTAAAAAATAAATATTAATTAAAAATTTGACAATTGATTAAAAAAAAAAATTTATAAGAAACAAATGAAATATGTAATTATATGTTTATAATTAATTTAAGTTACAGATAAACAAGTGTGTTTTAATACTAAGTGCAAAAAGATGTGATTGAAATTACATATAATTTATTAGTTACATTAAAATAAATTATTTTAAAACTAATTTGGATATTAGGTTTAGACATTCTATTGTTTATTTAAATACAAAACCAGAAATATATAAGAAATGGATGAAATATGTAATTATAAGTGATTTAAGTTACAAATAAACATGTTTTAATATTAATCAAGTGTGAGAATATGTTATTGAAATTCCATATCATTTATTAGCTACATTAAAAAATTAATTTGAATTTTATATTTGGACAAACTTAATTTAAACAGTTTCAAGAAAGCATAAAAATAAAACAAAGTGGAGTTGCCAAGGGGATTCGAACCCTTAACACTTAAGAAGAGTGCCTGCCACTCCATCCGCTTGGCTGGTGTGCTAGATTGGTCTAGTAGTGTTTTAGTGAATACTTATACTACGTATAATACAATGATATATGTATACAAATAAAATTTGAAATATATATATAATAGGGTTGGGTGGGGATTGAGTGGGGGCAGCTGCTATAAAAGGAAAAGAAAGAATACAAAATAGGTAGATTCTATGGTACCCTTAAGGTACCATACCTTTGTCCACATGGACCAATAGAAGTGATGCAGTTGAATTAATTAAATCTAAATTAAAAGGAATAGAATGATGGGGACCAATCAAATGCATGGTAGGTACGGTACCCCAATTTTTAAAAAGGTACTGGAGTTCTCACCTACAAAATAATATAAAACAGTACAAAAATGCCACCTGGATGTCCACATCACCATGTAAATGAGTTATCAGTTATTTACCGCCCAAATGGTGGATTTGGTGATTTTTTAAAACTTAAAGGACTTGATTGACTTACGAAAAACTTCGAGGATTCAATTGACTTTTTCGTAAAAGTACGAAGACCTATTTGACAGTTTTCTCTTTTTAGAAATACCAACACCAACACATGTATCACATTTGGATAGTATTGAAATTCGTAGCTTACCCGATTACGGGGATTGACGGTGGGAGAAGGATTCAACGACACAAGGCCATGAGCGCAGTGAAGAAATAAAATGAATTCTGTGTTAGAAGGGTGACAAGTGTAGTGAAGAAAGAGACAAAAACCACAATATTGACATGGACTTGACACAGATTAACTGAGTTTGACACGAATCATGATATATTTTTTGAGTGAGGCCGTGCCAAATAGCTGGTGACAGAACCGCATTGACACCAAATTTTGCATGATATGGATTTAACGTATCTGTGTCAAATCCGTGCCAAAATCGTTGTTTTTTTGTGGTGAGAAAGTGTTTAATTATGAAACAAGCGTCTATTATAAAATCGTCTGAGAACACAAATGCTAAGTTTGTAAACATTTTAATTCATCCATTATTCAAACTTGTCATTTATGTAGCCATTTAGTTGAAATGGCTTGACAAACATAACCTTAATAAGCATTAATTCTATAATCGACTTATGATGAATTTAACTAGAGATGGCCTTCATCAAAACACTATGCTACTCACTTACTTCTAAATCAAACTTATGAGTTAGTTATTTTAGTTCTGATCTAGCTAGTTGATTCCTTACTCCATATATATGATTGTAGTTTTCACATTATATGGATCGGATAATAAAATGCGAATTGAGTAAGTGTGATGAATTATGAATATACAGCGCAGCAAAGGCTATCACGTTGCAATTTGAATGAATTAATACAAAAGGAAATCATCCATCCATCTATCTATCATGCAATAACCAAAGAAAGGGCCTCCACCTAGCGAATGTGCAATTTCAGGGCGGCGAGCGGTGCTTTCGGTGGGGCCTTCGCCGCCGCAGCCGTCTTCCTTCATCTTCTTGTTCCCCACGGCGACGACATCAGCAGGCACTAGGGATAATGACGGCGGAACGTCTTCGGCCGCCGCCCCGGATGACGACAACTCCGGCAGCATCATTGTATTCCAAGTCCGTTTCTTTGGGGGGACGAGCATTATGCGGCCGCCTATGTTACGGCAGCGGCGGCCTTCCCGAAGCTGAATGTAATTCATAATTATCTTCGCCATGATCAATCGGTGACTAGCTCACTGAGCTGATACTATACCTACCGGAGTATATATTATTTGTATACTCAAAAACTATACGGAGTATTATTGAATTGATGTAATAAGTAGCCGGCCGGAATGGAAATATGGTTGATTGGGATCGAATACCACTTACAGTATATTATATAGGGCCGGGACGACTCCTACGTACTATGAAATTGCCATGAAATTAATTAGTTACTTGGCATTTATTACTCAAGTTTTGGCATACACTTTATTTCCTAAAGTATTACGGAGTATTTCCAAATTTTAGCTTCGAAATATTACTTCAAAAATTAAATACGAGTACGAAGTATTTCGGACTTTATCGGATCGAGGGAAATTAGAAATTGGGCAACAAGTTTGACATCAGGATTTGGATGTTCTTGTTGATCAATGGTGAATGTATTACTTAATCCACAAGAAAGTACTCCGTATTACTTAATCTACAACTACAACTCCTACAAGTCTACAACTAGAGGTGGGCATAACGGTTTGGTTTAACCGAACCAAACCGTACCAAACCGAACTAAATCGAACCGAACTAAAGAGTTTCTTTGGGGGAACGAGCATTATGCGGCCGCCTATATTACGGGAACCGCCGTCCGGCCGAGGGCATTTAGAGACCTTCTCGGTGTAATTTTTTTATGAAAGTTTTTTAGCATATACTTTTTCAAGTCTAGTTTATCCATACCAAATTTCAACTAAAAATTTAATCAGGGAGACACCCAAATAATTTTTCAAAAAATCATTTGAGCATTATGCATTAATTGAAATAGAAATGCGCATTATCATAAATTAGAAAAAGTGCATTTAAACTATGCATTGATTTAATCACAAATGTGCACATTTAAACTATGAACTATTTTAACCATAAATGTGCACCTCCGTAGTAAATCATAATGTGCACCGGTTTGAGGCGTTCTCATTTCTCACGAAGAGTGTCCTCACTAAAATTCTAGAACCGGACTATATATAAATTTGCAAAAAAAAAAAACTTTATTAATTATGAATGTGAAAGTAAACATTGAAGGTAACTAACAAAGGAAATCATAAAATTCCCCATTCTATCAATGTAAAGGTAAACATAAAATTCTCCATTCTATATTTGTTTGACGTAATGATGTAATTGGTTGGCGTAGAATCATCACATTCACGGAAAGAAAGTACAACCATGATGACAACCATTTAGGGAATAAAATTGTTGTTTTACCTTACATTAAAGTTACATACTTACATATCCCAAACAGTGGCTACCATACAATGGTAATCTCATACTCGAAATGACATCCAAATTGGTCAGAACTTAGCATTGTCCAAACTATTTACGTTCTTGCACTATCTCACAGAGCTGACCAAGGGTTTTGGAAATTCTTCCAAGGTAATCAATGAGCTTATCAGCTTGGAGCCTCACTAAATCAGTTTGATCAGCAGCAGTATTCGTTAAATCATCTTCAACTATTGCGTGGATATGTTGTGCATTTTCCTGTAGAATTAAAGCCATCATTTCTGTTTCATCCTCACCCCTCAATTCCTCAACCTCATCCGTGATTTCATCTCTGTTCTCTGGAGGTTTAACCTTATCAACCAATAGGGAAGGTTGATAATTTTTCTCCAAGCGCGGGTCAAATTTCTTATCCACTCTAATGTCTGGTTTATAATGCAAGCTCAGTTGATCCTGCTTTGTGATTCCACTTGAGATGTATCGCCAAGAAGGGTGTAAAGCTTCCTCGGCCCTAAGTTTCTGACTATTGCTTCTTCGACATTGCTTCTTCGAGCCACCTAATACAAAAATGAAACTCATGTTTACAGGGATTACATTAATAGAACCAACTGTTAGTAACATTTGAACGCCAATAGGAAGAAAATAAATGGACATCTTAATGGAACTATAACAATCTATAGCAAGGTGTTTATAGCCCGCACTGGTTGCTAAGTTAAATTTCTTATAGGTCATGGTGCACAGTAAGATGATACTACATTTTACTTCGGTGTTATTCTAGTCATATACAACGTATAAAGAGTAAGGAGTATGAAGTATCTGCCAGTATACTAAGTTGATTGACTCTGTTCGATTATAGAAAGTGCATCTGTACAAAACAACAACATTCAAACCTTAGTCCCAAAAGAATTTGGGATCCGCTAACATGGATCGATATATGAAATAGAAGCTAAAAAAGACAAAAAACAGGATTGTCTGGTTTATAAATATTTTCTCTAATTTTGTTGTCCTAACTATAGTGCAGGAGGACCCGACGATTTTAGTTCACCGCAATAGGGCGGACAATGAGGTTACTGCTTCATTATCCAAAGAACTCCTAAATTTAGATATATTGGCAGCTGACGCCATGATCCAAAGGATTCCCTCTTTGGAAAAATACACCAAACAATCAAAGATTCAAGCTTACTAGGACGCATCTGACAGCTTTGACCCATCAGATGACTCGTTCTTATCAGACGACTTTCTAGGGCACGCAACAGAAAACGACTGTCGACTTCCTATCTCCAAGCAGGAGGATATTCGGGACTCTAAATTCAATAGAGAAATCAGAAATGTGCTATAAATCCCAGTTCATCACACTGGACAATAGCCTGCCAACTGAGAACCTGAATACACAACTCCAAATTTACAGGAAAGCTCAGAAGAATAAGCGGGTGTCATAGCATGAAAACTAGATCAGTCCAAAAAATTCCCTTGGGACTAGATTTTTACTTTTCATTTTTGTACTGTTTTTTCCTTTATTTCTCGCACTGTATTTTCCCTTTAATTCAATAAAAGTTTACCCTTTTTTTTAAAAAAAAAGGTAAAAAAGACACAACAGATAAAAATAAAAAAGATAAAGATAAAAAAGATACTGATAAGATAAAAAGATATAAAATAAAAAAGATAAAGATAAAAAATATACAGATAAGATAAAAAGATATAAAATAAAAAAGATAAAGATAAAAAACATAAAGATAAGATATCTTCATCTTCATTACCCCAGTGCCCCAAAGGCTCCCACCTTCGGTAGGGTAAGGGGGGTCGGATGTACGTAGTCTTACCCTTGTACTAAAGTACAAAAAGACTGTTTCCGGATGACCCGTAGTGAAAATCGCGTCGAGAATTGCATGGACAGACTGCTGCTTCATAACAAAGAAGCGCAAACAGTTTAGTGAGCCATTTTGCTTTATTCCATCATATTCCCAAGCCAAATAATAGTGAGTCTTTGGCTCCATTGCAAATGATGGAAAAAGATACAGATAAGATAAAAAGATATAAAATAAAGAAGATAAGAAAGGGAAAAATAAAAAAGATGAAATCAAATCAATCATCCACACACATATTCTTCATTCACTTCGCTCTATCCAAAGTCATAATCTGTTTTCTTAGAAGGAAGAACTTTACTATATCAATGAGAGTGTGGATGAGATGGCTTGGATCTCTTTTCCAACCTAACCAAAGGCCCTGAGTTCGAGCCGGGAGAATGCAGCTCTATTAAAACCCATGAGCGTGTGTTTCTCTTGAGGCCCTACCTGGCATGCAAACCATTCCCGTCTATTGTTGTGGAAAAAGATTCATGAAAAACCATCTTATGTTTTCTAGGATGGAGACTGATGATTGACGAATTGTCAGAAAATATACGTGGTAAGTAAATAATACTACCTCCATCACAGGAAAAGTGTCCTTTTTCACCAATGTATAACTTTTTTATTTTGAAAATGTACAACTCTATAAAACATGAGTAATACTTATATTATAAAAAAATATTTATTTGTCTCAATACACTTAGCATATAACTAGTGTGTGACATTTTAATGTAAAATGTTTTTTCCAAACGACATGAAAAATTTAAGGGTTTGATCAATGTGGAGTCTTCAACTTTCTAGGGACAAAAGAAGTGGTTGAAAAGGGACTTTTTTGGGGCTAGGAATACTATGAAGCCATGGTGGTTCGTAGCTTATAAAAGCAGATCCCACACTCCTAATTTCCTATTGCAGTAGTAAGTCAAATCTTTTAAGCAATAAACACATAGTACGATACTAAAAGAGCATGCCATAATTTATTTACTCTTCAAAATATTGACAATTCTAAGAAAAACTCAGCAGTTCAGTGCGAACACATATGAAGTCCTATAGTTCAGTTTGAGCATGGTTAGGTTCATTAAGTAGTTAAAGACTCCATAGACATCAGTCGGGTCCTTCAATTAAATATCCTTCTTGTAGTACTGATCAAAACATAAATTAAAAATACTACTAGTATTATTTACATGCTTAGTTTTAAAAGGCGCGAGGCGGCATGGGGCGTTTTATTCACTTTAGCTTTTAAAAGGTGTGAGGCGGTATGGAGCATTTTTACTCACTTTAGCACAAAATGACAAAAATACTACAAGTCATTAATACAAGTCATGAAACAGTATTAACTCATGAGCAGAATGCATATGCAGAAGAATATGGTATTAACTCAAGAGGTAATAAAGTAACAGATTAAGAGAAGTCCAAGAAGAAAGGAGAAAATAATGTACTTGTCGAGACTCGAGAAAGAGAGAAACCTGATGTGCGAAATCTGGGGGCAGAGTCGCAGACAGAAAGGGAAGAGTGGAAGAATGATTTTGTTAAGGACCCACCTCCCACGTATACGACCTTGTCCAAGGCCTCAAACGGGATCTCAAAAGAGAAGAGGAGCTAATTGAGACCTTAGGATCAATATTGTTATTTTCAGATTATTGGACGTGATCAAGAATAATTATGTAAGAGTCTTAAGGTGGAATTTAATTGGTGCCCGACCTAGTCAAGACACATCAAAATCAATTCTTCCAAAAGTACTTTATTAACCAATATTAGGCCCTTATATAAAGAATACAAGAGTCCTAATAGGAAACATAAGAATAATAGGAAGTTTCGTAACTGAATAAGGAAATAACTATGAATCTAAAAAAATAAGGATCTAATTAATTAAATGCTGCCAGCTTTCCTAACTGAATAAAGAAAATAACTATGAATTGGAAATAACTAGGATCTGAATTAGCCTCCTGATCAACCACGTAATACATTCCTGATCTTTCCCGATAGCCCCAACTAAATTTCCTAAATCTTCTCGGCCACGCATTCGCTGATATACATGTCCATAGAATGGATCCAAAACAGATTTATTGATAAAGAAGAAGAGATTATGTTGGACTCTGAGAAGTAAATGCCACTTTATTTAAATACTACAGAAGAAGAGAATTATAGCCGTAGGACACTTTGATAGCCGCAGGACACTATTGTGCCGAAACCTAATCCCAGAGTCAGATGAGGTGTAAGCCTCATGATGGGCGAAAAGGCAGGGGAAAAGCGAGGAAAGCGCAATTACTCTCTGGAATCTGCTCTACCCAGCTTTTCTAATGCGACTTTTTTAAACTAAGTTTACATGAATGTATATTTTCACATTATCATTAACTTGGACACATAGAATGAAAAGACAACACAATAAAATAGGGGAACATGTCAAACAACAACTCTACTTTTAAATACGGAGTAATAACAGGATAAAAGTGTAAATGTTATAGTCAAATCAAAAGTGTAAATACTTTGTAGTCTTTCCACTTCATGAAAAGAAGGTGCATAACATTGAAAAGCGAATACCACGGCATCCACAGGTCAGAACTCAAATGCATGTTATTTGTTAAAGAATAACCCTCAAACCCGTTCCCACACACGCTTTTACAGTTTTTCTCATAGACACTTTAATACAGTTGCAACGGTGCAGGCCAGGACTTTCCATTCAGTTTATATCAATTATAAGCCATAAGGAAATAGTGGTGTCAGACTTAACTTCAGGTCTTGCAAAAAAGAACAAAATAGTCGAATCTGTCTGGAAACCTCTTTGGCTCTTTGTAGCTATTGCATTGTTGTTTAGTTTGGTGACTTTTAAAAGTTATATTAAATAGATGCCGAAAATGAGAAATGCATATAACCCACTCGGTGTGAAGTAATGCTATTATATATGTTGAGTTCATTCGAGTTCAAATTTCAGGGTTGAACATTAGTAACTTTGGCCCATGTAGAAACTACTCCCTCGACACCTAAAAGGGTGTCTTCATTTCCTTTCTGGAATGTCCCAAAATGTAATTAACTTTCCTAAATCAATCACGATAGGTATGTATTTTTCCTCGCTACCTTTAAAGTTTGTGTCTATGTTAACAAGTAGTACATAGTAAAAAATTATTAGACGGTGAAACAGACTGATGGGTGAAAGTGTGAAACACATGATATTACTTTCCATGTCATATCAAAGTACAGCAGTATGCAGGGGCGGAGCCAAGGGGGTGTCAGGGTGGTCAGCCGACCACGCTGAAAGTTTAAGAATGTAAAGTTCTGAAATACCTTCGATTTGATATATTATGGGTCCCGTAACTCATTACGAGTAAAAAGTTATGACTTCTGGAAAATCAACACCATCTTAACTTGAAATAAGCAAAATTTGATGTGTGACGTTGATTATATTCTTAAATTTAAAAATAAAACACCTTATTGAGTCATTAGTTGTGTTAATATTATGATACATTCCATATATATCAATACATTAACTGATAAATGCTCATTAAACTACCATTTATCTCAGCTACATATAAAACATTTAACTCAAGTATTGTATAATAGCTATCCATCATTTTGGCTGTATAAAATTAAATTCCGACCCCCCTCACACATTTTTCTGGCTCCGCCCCTGGCAGTATGTAAACGTTTAGCATGGGAGAATAACCCATCTGAACTATACTTCAAGGAAGAGCTAAATACAAACATTATAGTGGATATTGGGAGAATCTATTAAGCAGCTTTCTCTTTTCCCTACTAATAGTTTGTCATTGTTTACTTCAAGAGCTTGCACCACACATAATCTCAAATACAACACATAATCTCGATACTAGTGCTCTATACTAATGCAAAGAAGGAATAAACTCGATTGATTGGTTTTTCATTCTAGTAATTATTAATTGATGATACCTAAAAGAAGAATGCAATATAGGAGCATAGAAGTCCCAGCTAAGTCAACTTTGTTCCATATAAAACTCTGGAAGTAATAAATGCTAATATGCAATGACAGCAAAAACTGTAAAATGATCAAAGACAGTGGTTCCTATATATAGCTCCAAGTTACTGCCAGACAAATTTAAGGAGAACTAAAGAAGGGAATCAACACAAACCAAAAATAGTGCTCGGATATCTTGCTTCACTGAAAACCAGTAGAGCAGAAATGTCCAAAATTAGAATGCATGGATTATACATAGTCCAGCACTATTTTTGATAATGTATATGGTCTGGTCATGGACAGAGAAACACTGATAAATTGTCAAGGACATGAATTGAATATTAAAATGCTGTAATACTGGGAGCATCTAAAATAAAATAAAAATGCACCAATTAAGGCATACCACTTCCCACGAAGACAGAATCATCAGCCTGAGCTTCAGGATCACTGTCCAGGTCCGTATCAACCCCGCTTGCGTCCTTCCCCTGCATTTTCACATACGAATCAATGGCGACGAACAACTCCAAAGTGAAATCCCCCGGAACCCCCAAATCCTCCATCCGGTCTTCATCAAACAATGCCATCCCGTGGCGAAACTCCAATTGCTTAACCCTCCGGTAATCTTCCATCAAGGATTCCCACTTTCTCTTACATTGGTCCAGGCTCCGGCAGACGTCGAGGGCGTTGCAGTGCGCGACAGTGAGCTGCCACTTCTGGAAGGACGGCATCGTGCTGCCGCACTCCGCCTCCACGGCTTTGATCTCGTTCACCAGTGTCAGGGATTCTTGCGCCGTCCAGTTCGGCGCCGCCTGTGACCGGGTGATACGAGAACCGCTTTCCATTTTCCGATTCACGCTGATTGACGCCGTGATTCGATATATATCTATAGTGTATCCGCACCCCTTCACGTATTCTGTGCCCTGTACAAACTATACAAAAATCGTGTTTAGACAAAATTCTTACATATATTTCGTACACATTTCTACATAATTATTTGTGTACACAAATATCGTATACATCCACTAATTAAATATGTACACAAACAATTCGTGCAACATTGTCTGAGTGTATACTATCCAGCGTCTCTTTTTAATCGCAACATGTTGAATTTTACACTATTCACATATACTACTTTGACTACATTTTATAATATTATTTTATGAAAATTATTTTTCTAAAAAAATATTATTCAATTAATCTCATTACAAATTTTCTAAATCTAATTTTTAAATATTTTTTACTAATAGAGATTAAGATATAATTATGGTCAAAGATGTGCGTTGGCAAGTGTGAAATGTTGACCGTTGCATCTAAAAAAGAACGGAGGAAGTATATGATAACCTAAAAATGTGTGCAAAATGTGTGCAACTTTTGTGTGCATAAAAAATTATTGAATTCTATAGTGTCTTTTCCCTACGAGGTCTCATTTTTCGGAAAGTGGAACCAACTATTTTTCTATTTTTTCTACCAACATAGAGTTAAAGTTTTTTGGATGAAAGGTAAGTATATCAAAAATCACCCAAAAGTAACCATACTATCTTCTCTCCACCACTTACCATGCGGCACTTGGTGGGGAGAGAAATTTAAACGTCCAAAAACCCAGAAGATCAAGACTAGCACGGGACATGCCCCGTCTTAGTGTAAAAAAGAAACCGAAGAAATCCAAATAAATCCAAGTAAGCTCCAATTAGGGGTGGGCACGGTCCGGGACGGTTCAGGATTTGGCTTATCCCGATCCCGTCCCGGTTTTATAATAACGGTCCGGTCTGGTACGGGATAAGTCTTTATCCCAATGTTGTCCCATTTAAAATGGGACCGAGACAACCCGAGAAAAACCGGGACGATTCGGGATGTCCCATAAAATATGCATTTGTGAAATGTGATATAAAAATAAACATAACATCAGAATAAAGACGTAACTATTTTTGCAAATTTAGCTTCCCTAGCTAAAGAGTACAGTTAAGTAAAACCTTTAGGGCTTGTTTGCAACCACTTAAGAAAAGTGATTTTGGCTTTTTTCTAAGAAAAAAACACTTATTTTACCAAACACTACAAACTTTTACTTTCTCGGCTTCCGTGTAGAATCTACTTTTTACTTTTTCTATTACACAAAAAGCACTTATTTTACCAAACACTACCAAATTTTACTACTAATCACTTTTTCCCAAAAAGTGCTTTTATTTAAGCACAAGTGGTTGCAAACAAAGCCTTAGTTAATTACTTTTAATTTTTGTCTTGTAAATTTTTTTGGTCCCCCTAATCTTGTGTTTTCTCTAGTATAATATATAGTAGCGCAAAATAATTTTATACTTTTGTAGTACACTTGTAATTTTCCAATACCACTTTAAATTAAATATCATATCTATAAAGACAATGTATATATTTTCTATTAGTTATTTTGGAAAATATTAAATCTATAACAACACTATAATTTGGAGTACATTAGTAGTTATTCCATCACAAATAATATTCCGCACGTAATAATATAGAGTTTTGCTAGAGGTACGCATTTTTCAATAATATATTATGGATTAGTATTGGAATGAGACCTAAACAAATTTTAATCAAAAGAAACAAAAGAAACGAGACTAAGAGAGATACAGAGGAAGATAAAATTACACTAGGGAGACTAAGGACTACAAAGTTTTAATTGGATTTGGCTATTACATAGCATTAGAAATTTAAAATAACATATTAATTTCAAACGGGACACCGGGACGGGACATGATATTTTATAGCTATCCCGGTCCCGTCCCGGTCAATATTGGTGCGGGACCGGTTCGGGATGAAAAACTTGCATCCTAAATGTATCGGGATAGTTTCAGAACGGTATCGAGATTTTTCGGTTTGGGACACCGGGACCGGGATTTTTGCTCACCCCTAGCTCCAATGTTCCATGGACTCCAAGCCTGTTAAGGCCCATCCTCCATCTCCCAGAGTTCCAGTGGCCCACTAGCTTGCAAGCAAGCATCCAAAGCTGTCCCAGGTCCAAAGCAATGAAGCCACGTGATTGGGCCAGCGGCTAGTCCAAAGCCCACAGCAGGCGTCCAAAATCCTCACGTAGCAAGGGTCAAACCCAAACCTCTGCTCAGCCATCGCTGCCCAATCGCGCCGCAGCAAAAGAAGCTAACCGGAGCTAGGAGGGCCCCGACGGCGACAGCCACTGTGAGTGGCGGCTCCCGACACCTGGAGAGGGAAGAGAGAACAACCAGGAGTTATTTTTCATCATTTTACTTACGATGAGTTATGCATCTTATTTGTCCAACTTCTATATGCCCTGCTATCCGTCATAAGAACTCCTACAGGGAGAACTTCGATTCTCCCTAAATAGGTGCCTATAGCGAATAGGTTTCAAGTAGGTTTACTACGTTAGCACCTAGGTTACATGTTTTGGATTGGATTGATTGATGGGAGGGCTATAAAAAAGCTCCCCCTCCCCTGCACAAACACAACATTTAGTGCCCATTCCCAACCTTCTCCCTGATTAAAAACTTTGAAGAACACGCAATGCAGAAGATGCTCAAAGTTACCTCATAGAATGCAATTACTCAACTTTTGATTCTAGGCGGCAAGAGTATGTAATAATAGTATATGTTCGAAATTCTGCTCTTTGTCGTCAGGGTTTCATATATGTTTCCAAGGGACATGCTCAACATCTGTTTGTGGATATGCCTAAATGTTTATAGGTAAAACTGCAAAATTGATTTTTCTTTGAATTTAGTTGTCTTCTAATTACAGGTGAAGCACTCTAAGCCAGTCTCACAATGTTTCTTCGCCGGGTTGCTACAAAGTTGCCTCAACCAACCAGGTTCTTTTGCAATGCTAGTAACCATGATATTTCCAATGCTATTGCAGAACTTAACAAGGTTATCTCTTAGTATCTTATGAACTTCTCTTTCAAACATTCACTTCAAGAAACTCTATAACTTAATAGCAGACAGGGATATAAAAAACTGTATGCTAGATATTTGTTCTACTTTAAAAAACATGTTGACACACACACACACATCAGTATCAAGCATCAATAGAAATGTGAAAGTTTTATCAAATTCAGAAAATTAACATCAAAGTTTAGAGTTATGTACTGAAATTTTGATTCCTATTCGACATCAAATTTGGTAAGATGAAATCAATTACCAATAAATTGATAATAGAATATATGTAAACATCCAGATATAATATAAAATTTTAAAGTTTTGGTGGTTTTCTCACTGGGATAAAAAAGAATATACAAGTTTAAAGTACTTGTTATAATATTATGAATTGTGCACTCATCATAGTATTGATATTTGTCCGTTTTTTTTAAATCGGTGCGTAGAAATATTGGTTTAGCCCCTCTACTGATTAGACTTAAAGTTCCACAAGAAATACAAGTGCTTTTAGAGCGTGAAGATCAAATAGTCTTGGTTTTGATGACTTGATGAACAACAACAAAAACTAAGCTTTGTCCCAAAAGAATTTGGGTTCGGCTAACATGAATCGATCCATGATCATAGGGCCAAATAGAGAAGAAAGATAAGAAAAATAAAAAATTAAGGTAAGATAAAATTGATAAGATAAATATAAGATAAAAATAACATAAAAATGTAAGAAAGATAAAGATTAAAAGATAAAAGAACATAAGAAAAGATAAAAACTAAAAATAACATAAAGAACATAGAAAGATAAACAAAATAAAGGATAAAACAAAAAGAAAGAATGATAAAGAAGATAAAGTTTTGGTTTTGATGAAAAGACATTCAAATTCACAAACCCACAAAACATACTCAATAATAGGCATAAAAAAGAGTAACAGGCATTGAAGAGAGTATGATTGAGGTGTGAAGGTGAGGTTTAGCATGATTGAGGCAATTCAATGGCATACACACGACCTCAAAAGGTTTGAATTTGGGTTTCCCGGAAAAATAACCTGGTTATTCAAAATTGAAACATAAATTTTACACATGAAAAAACATCTATTGAACTTGTGATAGGCAGATGAGCAAGAATGAAAGGAGAAGTTCTACAAATTCAATGCAAGCATTCAAGTGGCTGTATGCCTGTATGAGATGTATGGTGCTAGAGATGGCTGGTGCGTTGCACGGTCGCAGTAGATTAGAATCATTAGATAGATTGCAATAAAGATAGGAGTGTGCACGGAGGAGGCTTAGTATTGTATGATTCTTATAAATGGGATATCTTCTTTCGATTACAGCACCATATCATTGGCTTGACATGATCATACATTGTTTGAAATGTATGGTCTTGCATCTCTTGATGTTTTTAATATACAATGCAATTGGAGTAATTCTGGATAGATGCTCATTGGTGTCTGTGGGCTGCTATTCTCAGGAAATGGAATCCATATTTGGTGAACCTCCCCCAGCTAGTCTTTCAGGCCATGCCAGAAACCAGGATGCTACAATAGAGTCCATCTCTCTCCCACCAGATGTCCATGAAAATGACTTAAGGTTGACTCACATTGGCAGCACAGGTGAGGCAAAAATGGTAGACGTATCCAGTAAAGAGGATAGCAATAGAGTGGCAGTTGCTAGCTGCAAGGTCATTTTGGGAAGGAAAGTGTTCGACCTTGTTTCAGCCAACGAGATGGGGAAAGGAGACGTTCTTGGTGTGGCTAAGATAGCTGGAATCTGCGGGGCAAAGGAGACGAGCAGAATCATCCCACTGTGCCACAATATTAACTTGATGCATGTCCGAGTGGGTTTGACTTTGAACCCTGAAGATTCGAGTGTTGAGATAGAAGGGGAAGTGGCCACATGCGGACAGACCGGAGTGGAGATGGAGGCCTTGACGGCAGTGACTGTAGCTGGCCTGACGGTATATGACATGTGCAAAGCAGCTTCAAAAGACATCCAGATTACAAATGTAAAGCTTGAACGGAAAAGTGGCGGGAGGACTGGTGATTGGTCCCGAGAGAAATGATTATTATTTGTCTAGAAGATGGGACATTTTTTCAAATATTTATTGGGGATAATAGTTTTGCAATAAAGAGGTGGGAAATTTGTGGAATTGGTCATGAGTTGAGAAATCTAAGCTCCAAGATTTAAATTGAACACTTGGTGTAAGCAGAACAAGAACTGTCCGGTTGATATGTGGTTGATAGCATGTCAAAAGGTACACATTGAAGGAAAATGGTAATAAGGGTAGATGAGTTCTAAGTTCTAACAAGAGTTCTACAATTTCTGAGATACTTTTGAACTTTTAAAAGTTAGAGAAATTTATTATTTTAGTTATGTAATTTTCGATTGTGCAACTTGACTTGCATGTAGATTTATTTTTGCAACTAATACATCTAATCCATATTAAGGACTATTGCACAAGAAAGTACGCTTTCCCGTAAAAAATATACTAGAAAAAGACATCATAGTAAAAAAATGTTAGAAAGTGTATTTTATAGTGAAAATGTCTTTATTGTGAACAAGCTTCTTCATATATTGGACCATATCTGCAAATGAGTAAAGATATAAGACTAAAAGCGAACCCAACCAAAGTTAAAGGACCAAATTTTATCCAATATAAATTAGAAGTTATTTAACCCACCATCATTATTGAATTATTGGATTGGGCCATTGGGATGAAAGGATATTTTCAATAAATGACTTTCTTTTTCAATACAGTTGTACATTTAGTTATTTTATGAATTACTCTGTATTTTTTTTAAAAAAAATCATTTGCTCACCAAATTAGTCGTTGCTTGTTACGTTTTGAATTTACAATTCAAATATAGTATAGGTGAACACGTCCCGGCGATCCGCCCAGCCTAGAACCGGGTCTGTCACAGTGAAGAACCAAATCGAGATTGGAGTTTCCGGTTTTGTGCCTGAGACCGGCCTTGTCCGCCCAAGAGTGGTACCCAATCCCAGTTCACCTATTTGGGGACTGAACTGGGCGCTTTTGGTCCCGGACTGACTAATTTTTTTAAGCTTGAAACTTTGTAAAAACCAAAAAAATATACAATGAGTCTAGGTCCAAGACAAGAATCGGACCGCTTGGGTACTCGGAATCAGACTAGACCTGAAAATAGTAGGTCGGTCGGTCACGGGTTGGATAAAAAAGTTTCTAAGACCGGTAGCTCTCGGCCCGGAACCAGAATTGAACCGACCCAGATGCACCCCTAAAATAGAGTATAGCCATTGTGGTGGGTCATGGAACATTTGTTGTTAAATATTAGTAGTAGTAACTCTAATAAATAGGTTCATGCCAATATAATGCATGCATGTTTATTTATAATATACGATAGTATAAGTTTTTACAAAAAAAAAAAAAAACAGACCGGGACCAACATGAAACTATAAATACAGGTCGCGGTCTTGGCCCAACAAAAATACCCCAGGTAAGAACCGGACCTTGTTCACCAATAGATACGAGTTGTATGTTCGGTACAAATAGTATTATAAATATCGTGTGCTACTTGTGAAATCAAGAGAAATCATTAACACACATAACCCATATGAAAATATTGTCAAACAAAAAACCCATATGAAAATTAACATGTTTTAATGCATAAAATTAAATGAGACCATCTCTCGGCTACATCAATGTTAAACTTTTCTATTATTAAGTCATTATTATACTACGTATTATATATTACAGTATTCACAATTGAACAATACATAATATATAAATTAATATTTCATATAAGTATGTGGATCGAGGAAGGCTTTCCGGCAGATTTGGAAATGTCCTAAAGCTGGTTGGAGAAAACTGAACGTGGATGCAGCTTGGGGAAATCCAGGACGAGGTCTAGGCTGGGTGACTCGAAATGAATCTGGAGATTTTGTTGGAAGCCGAATTGTTGAGCATCAGTGAAGCACTCTGTTGGCTTAAATCACAGGGTTGCGATGGGGTCGAAGTGGAATCGGATGCCCAGACTGCCATTTCAGAAATATGAAACGGCTCAAGTGTCTCCGTGGTGGACTGGTGGGTATTCTGGCTGAGGACATTCAGGATATTAGTCGAAGGTTCACCAATATTACCTTTTCTTTTGTGAGACGATCAACAAACAAAGTTGCTCATGAGCTAGCTAGGGTCGCTTATTCTTTGTCTAATTATCAAATTTGGGTGGATACTCCCCCGTCTTGTATTGTTGAAGCTTTAAACTTTGATTTGATGAATGCTTATTAAGTTTATTCCTTTAAAAAAAACTAGTACCAGAACCAGCCGTATTGTATAACCGAAACCACTCCCCGGTTGACGAGTTTCAGGTACATTTCTAGTGTTCTGCAGTCAACTATGATCTGGTAAAACCAGGTCCACCGCTAGTCCAAACGAATGTAGTCAGCTAAACTGGTTAGTTCCTTACATATTACATTTACATTATTTACATATATGGGGACTGGATAATGCTTTGTTCATGTGTCACCAAAGTGATACTAATGGTACTGTCTTTGTATTATCAGGGCCGGTCCTGGGGCATGGGCAGGACGGGCAAGCGCCCAGGGCCCTTTGCTCCAGTAGGGCCCATAAATTTCTCAAACATATATGTGTGTACTTAAATATTTTAATTATATATACATCCTAAATTCATAAAAAATAAAAAATAAAATCAAACTTATATTTTTAGATACTTCTAATTTGTTATTTACCATCTACACGATACAAGTCTATAATTTAGAAACATTTTCATTAGAATTCGTTAGGAACATATTTCGCCATTTCTTTTGAATCATTACGGATTATTACAATAAATTTAATCTTTTAGTGACTTAGTATACATGTCTTATGTATATCCAGAATTCATTGATGTATTTCACAAATTTCCTCCAATGCTCTCTTTAGTGAAAGATTGAACTTTAGTGTCCATAATTTAGAAACTTAGAATTTGTTTTTGTCTAATGAAAATGTGATTGAAAATATGAAATAGTTACTCCTTATACAAGATATAACTTTCACAACTTTCTTTAATTCAAAATTATTATTGTGCCTAATATATAGTTGCAATACTTGTTTCACTCGGCTGTTAGGTACGTTGTATCATCGAACGTCACTTATCAATAGATTCAATACCCTCTATATATATTTTCTAACCACATGCTTTGTTGATTTTTTTATGTGTTATACTAGTATTTTGACGGTAATATTGTATAATTTTAAATTATACTAGTCGATTTTTATAGCAAAAAGAACATTATAAACATTCTCGCGCTATCCCTGAGGCCTAGCCTATTTGTATTGTCCCGGGCCCATAAAATGTCAGGACCGGGCCTGTGTATTATCCCCATCCGGCCATCCCTAAAACAACAATTGTACATCCGGCCATCCAGTGGTCTATTATATAGGAAAAATAAACCACTGAACATTGAGTCTATATGTACAACGTACGACGACGATAATGATGCCGCAAAGGCTTTCACCTAGTCTTGGACCCGGTTTGGGCCGCCTGGCCCGTGGACCGGCCCCGCCCGGTTCTCGGGTCCGGGTCCGGTTCAGTGCCCAAACCGGTGGGGGGGTCCGGGCTCGGGGCTTGGTTTTGGCGACCTGGCCCGGGTCCGGGCCTAACGGCCATAATTTTAAAAAAAGATATATTTTTTCCTTTTAAATTGTAAAGAGCCGTTTGGCTCTTGACCCACATCCCAAACGGCTATATAGCCGTTGGGTGGGTACCGGGGGTCCAGGGCTTTTGGGGGGTTAAAAAAAAACCTATAAATACCTCTAATTATAAACATTTTTTCACACCTCTTCTCCAACTCTTCCGAAATCCTACTCTCTACTCTCTACTCACCTTCATATTCATCTTCTCAAATTCTCTTATTCTCCATTATATTTTATTTTACTATTTAATACTTATACAATTATTATATCTACTTATATATTAATTATCTACTTATAAATACATATACTATATTACTTACTTGTATATTTCTTATCTACTTAATCTGTACTTATTATCTACTTATATCTACTTAATACATACATACATACTACATCTACTTAATATATACTTTATATATTAAAGTATTAAATATACTTTATAAACTATTAGTATATACTTAATACATAATATTATTTACTTCTCTACTTATATTTCTTATCTACTTATTTTCTTATTCTCCAATCTCCATTATACTTTACTATTTAATTCTTATACAATTATTATATCAACTTATATATTAATTATCTACTTATAAATACATATACTATATAACTTAAATTTCTTATCTACTTAATCTCTACTTATTATCTACTTATATCTACTTAATACATACATTCTACATCTACTTAATATATACTTTATATATTAAAGTATTAAATATAAGTGTATTACTCATCTTATAGTAGTATACTTATATATTATATACTATAAACAATATATTATATAGACAAATCTTCATGTCAGGCCGGCCTGACGGGCTGCTCCGTCCGGCCGAGCCCGTTTTGGCACCTTCCCGGTAGAATTTTTTGATGAAATTTTTTGAGCATGTTCCTCATCAAGTCTAGTTTGTCCCTACCAAATTTTAGCTCTACATTCGATCGGGAAGACATTCAAATCATTTTTTGAAGTTGACTGCAGTTTTCTATGTATATTGACGCATTCAATTTCAAAAAATGATTTGAATGCCTTCCCGATCGAATTTGGAGCTGAAATTTGGTATGGACAAACTAGACTTGATGAGGAACATGCTCAAAAAATTGAATCAAAAAATTCCACCGGGAAGGTGCCCAAACGGGCTCGGCCGGACGGAGCAGCCCGTCAGGCCGGCCTGACGAGAAGAGCACTCATATTATATATTAGTTACACTTTAATTAATATTACTTAAAATCATTCTATAACTCATTTACTCCCATTAATTACTATACACATTCATACATTTGTCTTATTACTTTCATTTTGTATTAACATTACTTGATTAGTTAATTAGTATTCTCACTAATTGTTACATTTTTATTATACTAGTTAATTAGTTAATTAGTATTCCCATTAATTGCTAAAACAACTCTACTTTAAAAAACTAGTTAATTGTCATTATAGTTAAAGTCACATTATAATAGTTTGAATTAATATTTGAACGAAAAAAGAGTAGTTCAATCATTTTATTAAAGTACTTAACATTTTATTAAAGTAGTTTTCACTAAATTAAAGTACTTGAAAAGTTGCTATAATTTAATTACTCACATTTTAGTTAAAGTCACACTTGTTAGTTTTAAGTATTTATTAAAAAATACTATTGATTAGTTCGAATTTAAATTTGTATTTTAGAGTCACACTTTTATTCACTACTTAATTAAAGTACTTCACATTTTATTAAAGTAGTTTGCACTAAATTAGTTTGAAGTATTAATTAAAATAGTTTTAATTAGTTGCACTACTTTTGTATTCATTATTATATTTGTTGCAAATTAATATTTGTTACATTTTTAAGATGAAAGGTGGTAGATATTCGGTTGATTTGGGTAACCTCGAGCGCAACCGAAGGAACGAGATTGGGAGGAAGAAATCCTGCAAAGGTAAAGAACTTGCCGGCTCTTCATCTCAAAACCGAGATGATTTTGAAACGGGTTACCAAAGGAGGGATGGAGATGTGATGTCCGAAGAACAACTACAACAAGAATTGGCCCGACATAATAACCGCTTTCTCCAACAACAACAAATCCCGACGACCATTGACGAAGATGAGCTTGAGGATGAAGATGCGGAGGAAATGGAACCGGAGACGGCCGAGGAGGAGGGTGGCGGCAGCCACGACGCCGATGAGCCTGCCTCATCCTAAACTGCCACCGGTAATAAAAAAAGTAAATCTGAACTAATGAAAAATAATTTTGATAAGTGGAAGGACGCACAAACCGGGTATTGACACGCAACTTGCAAGTGGTGCAACAAAAATTATAGCTTACAACTTACAACTTAAAATTATTTTTCTAAAGGCTGTTTTTAAATTAAAAATAGCTTTACAATATGTAATTTGTTTAAATACTTTTTTTATCATCAAAACATGCCTCTATTCATATCAAAAGATTCAGGATCATTACATCAAGCAAAGGGAAAATAAAACAGACACCAACTGAAACTCCAACAACTACGACTGTAACCCTATGGTGAGACTTTGAGACGGTCACCCCTGAGAGAGCAACACGAATCGCTAACCATGTAGTGGGCTTGACACAGCCAAAACTATTCTCATAGATCCAACCATACCCAATGACATAAAGAGAAGCAAAAAACTCAAACAAACTGTCAAACCCAACAACAAAAATGGACGCAAGAAAACAAATAACAAACAGATAAAAACTACAAGAAAAACGTTCACGAACTCTAGCACCTCGTGCATCCCATGGTGGTGGTTCAGGAGGAGGTCGTACTACTGGTACCATGCTAATTGATCCTCCATGACCTTTGGCTGCCAAAGACCATGCATAAATCCTCCATCCCTGCATAACCAAACTCATCCCTGCTCCGTGCGACCAGAGTAAGCGGATAGGCGGCGCCGATCTTCTCCAACGACGACAGCAACGCCGCATTCTCGAACCTTGACCACAGTGCCGATCTCCTCGAGCCATGACAGCAAATCTGCCCTCCTCCTCCGATCTCCGCCCTCCGCGTCTGACCTGGACTCCAGTCGAGCACCAGCGACCAAGGGATAACAAAGCCGATCTTCGACACAGTCAAAATCGGAAAAAGGCTCCAGCGGCCGACATAGTCAAAGCCCTAGAGAGAAAAACTCGTTATCGCTCTACCTTAGCCAAAAGCAGACCACTGCTCCACGGCCAGATATGCGAACAAGAACAGCCGAACTTCGATCAATATGATCGAATTCGGAAAAAAAACCTAGAGGCGGCTGCCCTAGGAGAAACAATCTGACACTTCGAAATTTTTTTGTTTAAATACTTATACACCTATTTTGTGACATTTATAAATTATAAATCAAACCACTTTTCTAAGTAAAAACAGCTTTACTTAATTCATTAAATTAATTAACTTATTTTACAATATGTATAATTTTCAAATAAAAAATATTTAATTTTTTTTAAAAAAAATATAGCTCCCAAACGGCTATTATAGCCATTGGGGCTTTGGGTGGGGGGAAGGGGGGCCCCGGGGATGGTGGTGTGGGGAGTGGGGTTCAATTTTTTTTAATAAATCCATCTATTTTCTTACATTTTTCTACACCTCTTCTCCAACTCTTCTCCATCTTCATCTTCTCTTATCATCCTACATTCATACTTATACATCTACCATTTGAAAGATGCAAAGTAATTCTTCCCTTATGCAAAACAATTTTGATAAGTGGAAGGACCCGAAGACCGGACTGTGGTGGGCAACTTGCAAGTGGTGTAAGAAAGAGTATAGCTTGGGGCGTTCACACGGATACGAGATGCCAATAAAACATATGTAGTCCTGTGACTAGGGGTGGACTCGGGCCGGGCGGCCCGCCCCGGAACCGGCCCGAACCGGTTACTGTTTGAACCGGCCCGAACCGCCGGCCCGGCCAGGGATCGGTCCGGGTAGGCCCGACCCGCTGGGGTTCCGGTCCGGGCTCGGGCCCCTCAAAAGGTGAACCGGCCCGACCGGTTTGGGCCCGGTCCGGGCCAATTTATTTATTTATTTTTTTTTTTGAATTTTTTCTAAGTTTTTGGGTTGGGCTGGGTATTTTGAGCCATTTGAGGTGGTTTGGGGGTGAGGGGGGAGGGTTGGGGGTTAATTAGGAAAAGCCAAAAAAAAAAATTGAACCGAGGCCCGGCCTGGCCCAGACCCGGGCCGGTTCCGGGCCTCCCCTTTCATGAACCGAGACCCAGCCGGGCCCGAACCAGCCCGAGTCCACCCCTACCCTGTGACAAAGGCAAAACAACAACCAACGGTGGCGGAAATCCCAATTGATATTTATTAGAAAATGTATTTCACATTGTTATTTTTTTCTCAATTCTCAAACGTAGTTCCTATTTCAAATAAATGCACTTGAACTTTGTTTTTAATAAGAATTTGTATAAACTATAATTAAAAAAAATTAAATATGACCCGGCCCGGCGGGTGGCCCGACCCGTGACACAGGCGGGTGACCCGGCCCGAACCGGCACCGGCCATAGCACGGGTCAAATGTACGCGACCATACCTTTTGTACTAAAGTACATAGAGAATGTTTCGGATGACCCATGATGAAATTGCGTCAAAATTGCATGTACTGACTCTAGCCTCATAATAAAGAAGCGCAGACAACTTAATGAGTCATTTTGCTTTATATCTTCATATTCCCTAGTCATGGACCCGGGCCGGGCCGGTTCCGGGGCGGGCCCAGCCAGGCTTTTTTCTTGGGAAGGAAGGCCCGGGACCGGCCCGGGTAGCCACCGGGTCCGGGCCGGGCCGGGCCTCCGGTTCGGTCATAATTTTTTTTTTTTTTTGCTTTCCTAACCCCCCCACTCACCCCCCACCCCCCCAAACCCCTCCTAACCATCAAGCCCAACCCGGCTAACCCCAAAAAATGAAAAAAAAATGAAAAAAAAAAAAAAAAAAATCAATTCGGCCCGGGCCCGGGCCCGACCCGGCCGGGCCGGTTTGCCAAATACAAGGCCCATGCCCGGACCCGCCCCCCCACCGGGCCTAGGCCCGACCCGGACCCGATAACCGGGCCGGTTCCGGGCCCGCACAGTTGCGGGCCGGTCCGGTCCCGGGCCGGGCCGGTCCCGGGCCGGTCCCGGGCCGGGCCGGTCCCGGGCCGGTCCCGGGCCGGTCCCGGGCCGGGCGGCCCGAACCGGGTCCATGCCCAATATTCCCAAGCCAAAAAAATAGCGACTCTTTGACTCCATTGGAAATAGTGATGAAAACAAAGAGGGGATCTCTCACAAAATAGTGGAAGTGAAAGAAAACATCGAAACTGCGGTGACAAACTTATATGAGGAAATAGGTCATCTATAAAGTTTGCATTAGTTGCATCCTTTTTATAAATGAAATGTAGTGTTTCAATAATATATGTGTGAGTATACACACACACATATATACATATACACATTGGATCTTCCGGAGTAAAGTATCATGCGACGCGGTTGCAGAGGTTGTAACCAGACAAAAGAGAACTCAAAGCAAAGGCAGCGAAAGCCAAGAAGGACATGGCGATTGATGCAGTCGCCATTTCTGTGAATTCATCTTTCCCCCAATTTGATACCCAGTCATCAACCCTTGTTGCAGACGAAGACGATGCCGACATCAAAAGGTATGCCAAAACCTGCATTGACAACATATATGCACAGTGATTATTTCCAGAAATGACTTCACATTCAAACAAGTTTGGTGGGGGTGGCAAAAGGGTTCTAAACTTTATTATCCATCACATATACGAACTACATCATCTTATTTGGTTCAAGCACCATGTACTGATTAAAACAACAAGACTCCAGTTTACGTGTGCGCCCTTCCAATCACAGGTAACCTGAGTGATTCCTCTAGGAGTTTGTCTCATTTAATCCTTATGTCCCATGAAAAAAGAGTAATATTTGAGCACGGTCCATGTTTCAAAGTGCAGATCACAAGAAACTATATCTTCGATTATAATACGTGTTTATTAGCTCTTCACACAGTCTAGTCAAATTAATAGCGTAAGAAAGATTTTGGATGATACTTGAAGATGCATAGACACATAGTATTAGCCGCTAAGAATATTGCAGTGATCAGGATAGAGAAAATTAAGTAATCAACTAAGAGGGAAATGACACTTTGAAACAGGGTGGCATATATAATACTACCTCCGTCCCATTAACAAAAGTAGGGTTATATGGTTGATATTGAATTGGTAAAGAAAGAATAAAGTAAGAACCTTACCACACAAACGTTACCAAATTTGGTACGAGACAATCTTAACGGGACGGATCAAAAAGGAAAGATGAGAGTATGAGACAATCTTAACGGGACGGATCAAAAAGGAAAGATGAGACAATTTTAAGCAGACATCAAACTCCTGTGCATGAGGGAGGTCAAAATCACTGAAAATTGTTGATTTAAGTAGACATCAATGATGGCATGTCCCAAACTAGTCGCTTGAAAGTATAGTAGCCCTATGTACTACCGATGAAGCCAGGAGGGAGGGATAAAAATTACTGCAAAAGGTTCGAAGATATATTCATTTAATTGGACATAATTTAAGGTATGTCTCCAAACTACCTGCATGGAAGTACTCTCACCCTATATACTAGCAATGAAAATACAACGTACTTATAAATAGACCAAGATTAATGCCTTAAGGGAATATAATATAAAGAGGTTTATATAAGATGATAAACCAAACTTGCCTGATCAATGGCAAAATCAAAATGATGTCGCAGGTGGTGAGAGATGAAGTGTTTCTTAGTGGCCAAATAGTAGGATACATTAAAAGCTTGAAATCCAGAATATACAAATCCAATAACATTCACTGCCAAACAATACCTGCCAGCCATGAGATCCAAAGTAATATAGAATATAAGTAACTAAAGAAATGCGACACAAAGTGTACGAAGATGCAAACAACTGAAAGAGATTGGCAATGAGCATTTAGGGTAAGCTTCATTCATTTAATCATGTAAGAAGAATGTGGCAATACATGTAAGTGTTCCAGAAAATTGGCTTGCCAACACCTAAGCGGAAACCAGATGCCTCAATTTTGACCTAGACAGTCTACTCAGGCAGTCAAGCGCTTTTAGGTGGCCTAGGCGCCAACCAAGCAGTATATTAAATTATTCATTACTATTTAAGTAATAGATAATTTTTAATAATAGATAGTGATGAATAAATAAATAATCATTACACGTGATTATTTCTCCCTCAATCCCACTATTTTTGCTCGCCAACACCTAAGCGGAAGCCAGATGCCTCAATTTTGACCTAGACAGTAGTCTACTCGCTACTCAGGCGCTTAGGTGGCCTAGCGAAAACCAGGCGGTATATTAAATTATTCATTACTATTTTAAATAATAGATATTTTTTATTAATTAATAGTGATGAATAAATAAATAAATAATTATTTCAAGTGATTATTTCTCCCTCAGTCCCACTATTTTTGCCCAATCTTTCTTTGTTTGCCTGTGTCACTAATTTTCTCCCATACAATACTTGGTAATATTAGTGTGGTTCTATCTCATTCTTACTTTACAATTTGTCAATTTCTTACCAACCACGTAATTCTATTTTTCTTAATAATTGTGGCACTTTTGCAGGTCCTAATTTTAATAGGTTGGAGGTACTATTAAATAAGAGTATTAACTTAGACACAAAAGTTCTCAAATGGCAGACTCTTCTTTGAAAAAATATGGAACACGCACTCTTCTTATAGAGGAATGTAAGGTGGATTAGACTTTTGAAAGTACTTGAAAAAAACAAGAGGAACAAAAAAATGCTACATTTAGGGCTTGTAATCGAGCCCACAAATATTAATCCATTTGCACTACAAGTGTAGAGCTGAGGCTCTGCCAGTTGAGCCATTAGGACAGATATGATGTCCATTTTTCATTTGCATTACAAATAAGTCGATTATCTATCCCAAAGATAAGCTAAATTTATTTTATATCTATTAATACTGCATATAGTATCATGTATGTATGCATGTGTATATCGAGACAGAGAGAGAGAGATGCTTGATCAAATAAAAGAGCAATTTATATGAAAATGAGAACCAATATGGTCAATTAAATCGTAGATCAAAGGGCTTACAAAAAACTAGAAGAGAAGAGTGAAAAAAATAAGGTAGAACGCATTATAAAAGTGTTTTTTTTTTCTAGGCTTCATTTAGTCCCTGTCCAGCGCCTAAAGATTTTAGAGTTCCTTATGCACTAAGACAACCTATACAGATTATGCTTATGCCAATATATCAATGCGCCTAAAGCTTCAATCGGATAAGGGAAAATTAAGGTTAATTTAATGTAGGCATTCAAAGTCTCACTACCTAAATTGCCAGAAATGAATACATTAATTTCCATGGGGTACACACTCCAACAGTCCAACCTAATGTCCATTGCCTAACTAGCTTGAAATGAATATATTTTTCAAATACAAATGAGTTTAATCTAAATTCATAACATTAGATCGGTCTCTACAAGCAATTTGTAGTTTGTTGAGGTACTCATGACTAGCGTGTATAAAATTTGCATCACCCGTTTAATTCCTTCCTCATCATTTACTTCAGTAAAAACACAAGTCTGATGTCAGGTTCACTAAAAGGGCATTGATGTTATTGTGGCATATCTGCCGAGTGAAAATTTAAGGATATGGTGATGAAGGAAAGGGAGAAAAATAAAATATTGGGAAGTAGTATAAGATTCCCCAACCTGTATTCTTTGTACCGATCCCAAGAGTCGCCACTCCAGCCTTGAGTTTTATCAGCGGCCATAACCGAAAAGGAAATCAAACAGAAAACCGCCTCGCAAACCCTAAACCCTAACGCAGCTCTAGTGACCGCCGCCTTGAACCTACGCTCACCGACCTCCGCCTGACCATTATTACCCCTAACCGACCCCACCTTCGTGTCCCCAGGTTCTGCACGGGACTTACTGTAGTACACCTTCGGCGACGATCGGTCTATGGACGGCGGCAGTGCGGGCGTCGGAGGCTGGCTGAGGTGCTCCGAGGGAGATGACTTCCGCGGATAATAGAGCGGAGAGGGGCGTTTGTCTATCACAGAAACCGCCTTAGAAGAGACCGGAAGAGAAGTGTGATCAGGGTCGGAGAAGGGTTCGTCGGAGCGGAGGGGCGAATCGTAACGGAGAGGCGAGTGGAAGGAATCGATCTGACTAGCCTGAGACTCGGTGTCGGAGATTGATATGTGGCTGCTCTGCATCCTGAGAGTATTCTGGCTGGTATTTGATTTGGGAATTTGGTTTTCCATTGTTAGACAATAGTTCTTCTCTCCAGTAAAGCCGTTCTTCTGGGGAGGGCGAGGAAGAGAGTGGAGAGGAAGGCCATTTGTGGAGTTCAGAAGAGGGGTGAGTGGGAGAGCGTAAGGGTGAGTGATTCCTTCCGTGCCGTTGTGAAGTGTTCCGAGGATAATAAGTACGCATCCAGACAGCAAATTGATCTCCTGGGATGGATTTGTAGTCAGTATTTTTCATCACGTCTGCCCCTTTTCAACCTTAAACTTGGGAAACACTTTTCACATCTCAAATATTCTTCAAATAATGCAAATATAGGGGAAAAGGTAAAGCAAGCAAATATGTTTACCGAAAAAAAATGTTCGAAAATTGAAGAAAGGAAAATAAGAAAAATGTTCAAAAAATAAGAATGACAAGTGTGAATGTTTCATCCTTGTCATCAGGACATTAATCTAATTCCAGTCCTTGTAATAGACAGATGTTTAGGCTTAATGTTGCCAGCAAATTATGTAAAATCATTCCTAGATGATTCATCCCAAGTCTGGCTAGTATAAATAGGGCATTCAATCATTTGTAAAATTAAATATTCAAGCAATTCAGATACTTAGAAATTTCATATATTAAGAAGTAATTTAGAGGTTTTTATCTATATATTTATCTCTTAAATTTAGTCTTCATCTTCTTCATTTCACAACACGTTATCAGCACGAATCTGCTCAAAGCTCTTCAAGAAATCATCTCCTGCAGGTAGTAGCATCAATATTTATTATCTTCTTGTAGTATTAAAACCTGAAAATTATTCTTTGTTTTAAATAAATTTTCTATCATATACGGAAAGAAAAATATAGGCAACATACCTTTGAACAATTGATTCTTCAATCAATTTTGATAAACCTCCAGTAGAGAATAAGATTTCGACTTATAAAAAGTAAGTCATAATTCTCCACAATGATGATACTCCGTAAGCAGAGAGAATGCTACACAAGCAGAAAATTGATACGGGAATAGCTAAATACTATAGAGGTATTATTGTAAATGGTTATTAGTGAGCACAGAATGGGCATAAAGAAGAAACGATTGAGTTCATATGTAAAGTAGATAAAATATACTACGTATAAGATAATCACGAGTAAAAGAATAGTAACGGGTGAAGAAACATTTTTCAACTTATTATCTCAATCAGTTGTATATAAATTAGATGTATAGTCACGGGTCTGCAAAATATAGTTCATCAGTTTCCCATTTTCTTATGCACTATTACATATGTGAAGCTGTGAGCATACTGAATACTGACATAAGATATTCATTAGTTTGCATGGCCATTTGTCTTCTTATAAATGAATGTAATCACGGATTCTATCTATTTTGCAACTTTCTGAGGACACTTCTAGGCTTCTAGCTCAACATGAATACATACATGTCACACATGCATAATAGGAAGCATTATTTGTCTCATCCGAAAAAGCTTTCTGCTCCAAATTAACGGTCACAATTAAAAAAAAAAAAAAAAGATATACGGAATATAAATGAATAAACAAACATTTTTTTTAGCGGTAAGACTTGTAAATACCATAAATAATTAAAAGAAAAAGGAAAATACTCCATATGTAATATAAAGGTTACAATCTGCATGTAGTTTACGGCAACTTATTTGTTGTTATTATCTTTGCTTAGTTTTACAAGGCATAAAATTTTAAAATCCGGAGTACCGTTTTAAAACATATTTACATAAAATTTTAAAATCCGGAGTACCGTTTTAAAACATATTTACTTCTATGGAGTAATATATAATACTATACGGAGTATATATGTCACGCCCCAGACCGAAATCCAAGCGCGTGTACAACCGCCGTATAATTAAGTGACGTCACCCGCGAGTCAACCCCACTTAATTACACAAGGCGTTCGAGAAAACAATCCATCCATACTCAGTAGTAAACATACATAACAACATCACATTTAAACCAATGAATAGCGGAAATATTCAACGGTAAGTCATAAGCCACAACCGGCCAACAACATGGGCATGCAAGCCCCAAAAATAGTTTATAGTAGAACAAATATCCATGAGCAAGTGTTCGGTAGTTTGAAAGAAAATAAGGAAGCACGAACCACGTCTCCCTGATTTGATATCACCCGTGAGAAGGTGCAAGTAGCAAGCCCTAGCTTCAACCTGAAAATGGTGGGGCCCCCCGAAGGGGTCAGTACAAGTACCGAGCGAGTAGCAGGCTAAATATAGAATAACTAGCGTTTCAAGTATAAGACCCAAACATAGGGTGATACTTAAATAAATAGTCCTTCCCCCAAGTTATGAAATACTTATTAGTATATTTATACTTGGAAAATATCCGATCCGTAGATCACCGTTCATTTGAGAAAAATAGTAATAGTCAATATTCTTGACCAAAAACCCCAACCCACCCATATACCTATGAGTGTATAGGACTCCTCCTTGTCCCTATTTGTATATCATAATCTATGAGTTTTAGGATCATAATCCTTGGATACTCCACCGGTTTGTGAGTGTTAAGGACTCATAAGTCCTAGGGTCCTCCACCAAGTTTTGAGTGTTAAGTACTTTTTAGTACTAGGGTCCTCCACCATGTTTGAGTGTTAAGGACTTTAAGTCCTAGGGTCCTCCACCAAGTTTTGAGTGTTAAGTACTTTTAAGTACTAGGGTCCTCCACCAAGTTTGAGTGTTAAGTACTTTTTAAGTACTAGGGTCCTCCACCAAGTTGAGTGTTAAGGACTTTAAGTCCTAGGGTCCTCCACCAAGTTTGAGTGTTAAGTACTTTTTAAGTACTAGGGTCCTCCACCAAGTTTGAGTGTTAAGTACTTTTTAAGTACTAGGGTCCTCCACCAAGTTTTCCTATGATCAACCTCCTATCAACCTAGATAGAGTCTATATCATCCTTAGTTACTCATAACTAATCCAATACATAAATCTTATGTATCACAATCCATGCAAAGCCATGCATTTATATAAATGTATAATTAACTAACATCAACCGATATTAATTAATCCATCATTCATCGGTCAACGTTGTCGTTGACCGCTAATTCAAGCCTTGTACATATCGACTTAATCACCATATGATTAAGTTAATAATACTCCTTTGTGCTTCTTTTATACTTCAAGCTAATATGCATTTTATATAATTCCTCATATCATATTTCATGCATAAACAATTAATTCTTTTCATACAACTTAATAATGTTGGCTAATCACATGTTTAAATATCTTTTAAACACCATTATGAACACATATAACATTTATTTAGGTAATCTCATAATTAACCCAAAAGTTATAAGATATTAAGCCGTCCACTCACCTTGAATTAGCGTTATGAAGTTCTACCCTTCTTGGTTGAACTCCGGTGAAACTCCGGCGACTTTCGGTCAACTCCGGCGACAACTCCGGCGACTTTTCCAACTTTGTGAAATCACTTGAAATACCTTTCACAAGTTCCTAACAAGGTTTTATAATCATAAAACCCATATTAATGCAAATAACCTCAAAACGGTTATTTTCCGGTGAACCGGTCGTTTTGGCTTCTAAGTCCGTTCTTGGACATAGAATCCCTTTCCAACCCATTAATCCATACTTATAACATGTAGAACCCTCTTAAGGATTCTTCACATGATATATATATATCTCATATGGTAGAAGAAAAATAAAGAAAAAGTTATAATAAGGTCATTACCTTAATTCTACACACTTTTCCTAGCCTTTTTCCTTCTTTAAACTCCCTCTTTTTCCTTGTTTGAGTTTGAGCCCGTGTTCATCTATGGAAAATGGAGTTGCAGAGCTTCCTCTCTCTTTTCCTTTGGGTCTTGGCCGAGTGTGATAGGGGTGGGTGAGTGAGGGGTGTGGTTTTTGTCTCATTTGGACAAATGAGTGTAGGAATGGGGTCTACTAAATGTCAAAGGGTGTCTCCCCCATCCTATCAATGTTTATTCAGCCCATCTAGCACTCATCCAGCCCCTAAGGGTTGACAAATTCGTGGGGTGGCCCCCACTCATGTGGGAGGTCATCCCTTTGTGTCCCAATGTGTACAATCGGTCCCGAAAGTTGTATTTTTCGGACTGTTTTAAATATATTTTATTTTATCGGGTCAAATAAAATATATTATGGGCTCTTACTCATTATGACATGTATCATGAATATACATTCCCCAACTTTAATTTATAAGTCTCCGAAATTCAGTTCGGGCTGTTATCTGTCAAATTACCAGTACTGGTAATTTGGGCTTCTTTTGACCAATCGGTCAACTCCGGGCCTTTCCATGGCCCAAATGAAATATCCACCACTACATATTTATTATCTAGACCATGATGAATAAAATATATGGTCTCGGGGAAGTCGGGCAGCCCCCGCTCCCGGTGTGGGTCCCACGTGCAATTTACTATTCACGCGAAAGAAATAATAAAAATTTACAACCTCGTAAATTCATTAATCCTTTAATAAGGTTCAATACATTATTTACATGAAAGTAAATATATTTGGGGACGGTGTTACAATATATACATATGACATTACGAAATACTTCGTATATCCCATTTAGTCAGTTAGTACTATTGTATATGTCTATATGTAGTACGGAGTACTACTTAATTAATACATATACACAAAAGATCGAGGGTTAATTAGTAAAGATGTATAGATTGATAAGAGAATAATTCTAACTCCTCCATGCATATTGTGTCTCCTTAATTGTTGGTTGTATATTACTCGTATAATCTAAGTTACATGAAATCAAAATTCAAATACACTTTAATAAGGAGTACAAGTTAAAGATAGATTTCAGCAAAATATATATATTGACACATATATATCTCTTTTGCCGTTTTGCTTTACCACAATTTACATTAATAATTTAATACAAGAAAGTGGAAAATGGCATGTTCGCGTTTACTTTATGCATATACTATACTTTATCTCTACATGTGTGTGTGTCATCTTTAAATATAAATAAACATATAAACTACATACGTGCATGAATGTATACATATCCACATGTCAATATGGCATGCTGTATATTCATATAAATATGCATGTTTATTTAGACAAATTTATACGGTTATTTGATAATAATCAAATCGTGATAACATGTATAACTACTCCGATCCTATTGAAATTGATATCAATTATCATATTTACATTTTGAACTTATGTTTATT